AAATCACAGCGATAGAACTCGGACACCTCAGTGCTTCATGGAAAAAACACCATCAAGTATACAGAGTGGGACAGGGCAGAACACCTCCTGAAAAACACATTTTGGAGAGGGAAAAGGCCAACATAGCATCTAGGTAAGTTTCTGCTTTGTGTCCTAACTTTTGCAGCTCCATCTTCGTTGGTCATCTCTTCTAATAACCATATCAACGCTGTGAGCTCTGGGTCGGAACCGCCGACTTTACTAGCTCCAATATACCGAGTTTAGACCCCTGTACTGGCCATTGCTGTTTTTATGTCTCCCTAGCTACCGCTTCAACCTGAACAGATATGCCCCCACTTACCTCCCAACCCCATCTGGCTGTAATATCTACGCCCGCCTCAACCAGAAGATGGCTGAGCTGGAGCAGAGGATATCCAAGCTATATCAGATACTTTGGATAGCCTACAGATCGTCAACAGCTATCCTGACATTAGCCCCAGTGACTGCATGAAGTCTCATCTGTCACCTTCCATTTGTGAATCCTGAATGTAGCATCAACAGTGTGTAAAGTCCTTAGGCCAGCTAAGAAGACACAACATATAAATAATGTTAATTTGGCACATTCCTGCTCTTCTGTTGGCGGCTAACTGTGTCCCCACACCTCAAGGTCCTGCACTACTGCCCAGTACTGGTGCTAATTAGCTAATGGGGGCAGAGGATAATATTACACCTGCTACACATCAGACTCTCAGCATCGTTCAGCTCAAAGCACCACTGTGCCTAAATACAGCCTCACACAGCTGCAAGCTTGGGTGTAGATTCTTTATTGTATTATGTATTTATCCTAGATATTGATTTGTAGAAATGATTCAGAAATACACACTTGCTTCTCTTATCCAACCATGGGCACTTCCTGTCCCACCAATGGCAGTAGGTGAGTGTGGGCAGCATAGTTATGCAAATTAGCATATGGCGTCATCTGGTGACTTCTGCTGACATTTTGAGCCGTCAGCAACTACTCGTCTTTAAAAGCTTTTAGTTTTCAGCTAGAGAGATAAAATGCATTGGAGTGCAATGCATTGTGTGTGTGTGTGTGTCACTTTGACTTAAGGGCAATAGTCTGTTTATTACTGTGTTAAAGGCAGGAGGCTGAGTCATCAGTGCATGCTGCGTCTGCTCTCCTCCATCCTTCTCTCTTCCTGTCTGTGTCTCTCTTTCTCCTCCTTCATCCCCGCTGCTGTTGTTTAGCCCAACACATTTCATGTCTGTCTTTAATTTACCAACTCATCCCTCTCCTCTTTTCCCACCGGGGAAGAAAGTCTGCAAGAGGTAAATGATTAAAGAGGATGTGTGTGAGTGTATTTATGTGGATGCCTGACAGCTAAGAGATTAGATTTCCTTTAGATTGGTTATTACTAAAACAGACCCTTGGGCAGTCTCACACACACAGACACACACATTATTAAAAGAGAAAGAATTTGTCAGTGACAGTCTGTTCTGTCACATATCTACACTACACCTTCTTGAATGAGTTTTGAAAACAGCTTGGCCTCTGTAAATGATGTTTCGCCTTATTTTGAGCAGCAGAGCCTCAAAGCTAAAACCCCTTAAATTTAGCCATTTTCAAACTGCAAAGATAACAGAAAAGCTAGTGTTGTGTCTGTGAAGCGCAGCCTTGCAGTTGTTGATATGCTGTAAAAATGTCATCAATCAACCAGGTAATGTGTGAGTGAAATTATGAATATACTGATGTGATGAAGTCAAATGGCCCCGGCACTGTCAACAAGACAAGTATGGAGTTTTATTTGTGTCTGAATCAGGGTTGAGACACCATATACACATATAATGCCATAAACAGGTGACTAAACTAATCAACGTCCCTTAGAAGTAAAGTATAGAAAGCATCTCAAACCCCAGTACAGATGATGACTTTAGTGTTTGTCTCAATCAACCTTACTGATGGATTATATCAAATGATTCATGATAAAAACAACATTAAGAAGAACATAAACAAACATTAAGTATTTCAGCTGTGAGGTGATTACTATGCCAATATAAAAAATAAGGGGAGACAATATTTAAATGGGTGCACTCAATACTAAACACAGATATTAATAAGAGTATTATTACTTTATATATCTCACATAAAACCCCTCACCAACAGCTCAACATTGCACAGAAGTGTAAAATATTTAGTAAATGTAAGATCCCCTATAAAGTTTGGTGTGTCGGGACTGGGCCATTTGTTTTATACTGCACCCACAATGTGTCTATACAGTACGTATTACACACTATTTAATTTGTCATATACTAATAAAGTATACGACAGTGTCAAATTTAATAAATTCTTGAAACATACAGTTCATGATCTGCTGATTTATATGTAAAATCAGTAGAACTCAGAACAATAAACACAGTATTTTAAACATAGATGAGAAGTCCTTAAAGTGCTCAGCAAAAAATGACATAACTGCTGATGAAGACCATGCGACACAATGAAAGCTCCAGAGGGGCTACTAAATGGACCTTGTGGTGAGCTTGTTTTATCAACTGCTGTTTCCAAGGTTCAGAGTAAACTTTTAAACTCAATAGTACTTTTACATATGTTTATTTGTGTGTGTGTGTATGTGTGTATGTGTGTGTGTGTGTGTGAATGTGTGTGTGGTTGTGTGTGTGTGTGTGTGTGTGTGTGTGTTAGGGAGTTAGGTTGAGCATTGCAACTTTATTTTTGGGTAAGTTTATTTTGTATTGTGGTTTCATTTCTAGCCAGAGCTTGTTTGTTTCTTCTCATGTCTGATCTCTCCCTGAAGTTCAACTTTAGCTCCTGTATTTGGCAATAAAATATTGAGAAAAGGATAGAATCATCTAGTTTTCCCCTGGATAAACTTGGGGCCATAACAGTGTGATACTATTGTTATATTTGCATGGGAATTGTTTTTGTGATCATCCAAGTGTGCATTGAGCATATTGGACGTATTGACTATGTGCACATTTAACTAATTAAACTAAATTAAGGATAAGTTCTGATTACTAATTGCATATAAATACGGATGTTGTAAACTCCTTAACCTTTACCTTTTAAAGACCTTGCTGGTCATGCTAAAAGTATATATGAGATGAATGAAAAAAGATTTGACTGCAACATAGTGGCAACATTTTCACACCTTTTTACTGTTGATGGAGTCATGTTGCAAAACACTCCACTGGTTTGATTTGGATTTTACAGTAGATCATAAATAGATAATAGTGCTGTGCAGCTAACAGTTTATGTTTATTCTTTGCAGAAACATAACACTTGGATCTTTCCACAATCTGACAATCTGACATTCACTTCAGGCGCGAACTGTCGCTTTTAAATGGCAAAAACCTTGTCTTGGAGAAGGCCTGCAGGTTCACTTTAACAGAAGTAAACCAGCTCAGGCTATACAAACAAAGCCATTGATCTAATACAGACATTCTTAAATCAATGAGTGCTTAGAATGGCATGAAGATTGTACAAAGCTGCACTGGAAGAGTTTGAGGAGAACATCATCATTGGCTATTTTTTCAACTTGGCCACTGATAACTGAGCTTCTATGGGAATCTCCTCTTAAGTTCCTCCATTGCTCTTCATCATGGTCACTGGAGGCATCCTTTCCTAGCAGAGCAACAGGCCTGCCTTCCAGCCCATTATTTTATCTGCAATGAATGAATATGTGCCGAGTTAGCGAGCAAGAAAAGAGAGAGAGAGAGAGAGAGAGAGAGAAGTTGAAGGAAAGGAGAAAAACTAAGAAATATGGGTTAGAAGTGGGAGGCGAGACTGGAGTTTTAAATTGAGACAGACAGGAGAGATGAAAAAGCAAGAGGGGGGATGAGAGTGCGAGAAACGGGTACAAGGTAACATGACAGAGCGAAAGAGCAACACTGATCTTGGAGATGAGAGCCTAAAGCAAGAGAAAGCGAGAAGAGCTGTTAAGAAGAGCAGTTAAACGGCTGCAGTATATGACACAGAAATTTCATCAGGGCCCCTCCAGGGCATCGTATGTGACAAATTTTGTGTTAAGAAGCAGGGAGAGTGAGCATATGGTGGTATGTAATATTGATGGTGCACGAGTGCCCGTCTCTCGGTGTGGCATAATAGCCCCGCAGTGATGGCATTTAAGACTCACCGTTGTTGCTCCTCAGTCGCAAGTTGGTTTAGCTCATTAAAGATTTAAAGACAATGGCAAACAAGCATTTCTTACCCCAAAATAACAGAAAGAAGATGCTTAGTACAAAGAAAGTCAATAGGGGACTGAAACAGAGAAGATAGAAAGATTAAGGAACGACAAATTTGTTGCATGTGTATGTGTGAGTAGGGTGGGTTGAGGGCAAAACGGTAGTGAATAGCAACAAAAGGGAGAAGAATGGATAGAGAGATCAAATGACAAAAATAAAGGCTAGACCAAATAGCTGGGATGAATCAAAGGGGGGAAAATAAAAGGCATGAAGATACACAGAAAGAGGGAAGTGGGAGTTTTGTTAAGCCGGCACTTCAACACACCCTTCACAGGTCAAGGGTCAAGCCCCTGGAGTGTGTGCATGTGTATTTGTGTATGTGAATAGCTGTGTCTGCTCCAATAGACATTGAGTCTGAATGGTTCTTTGTTAGAGTTGACTCTGTAGCCTATAGATTTGCAGCGGGGTTGTTTATGAGTTTGATTTGTAGTTTGGGTGAAAACTACATCTGTTTAAATTGTATACATATATCAAAAATAAAATCAATGCAGGCAGCTCTGCACTGCTAGGAACTCTGGTGACAAACTCTCTTTTTTAAACTTCAAAGCATTTCAGAGGCGCTTACTGAACATGCACTGATTCTGCTGCCTGTTCTTCCTTCATCACCCTCTTGGGATTACTGAGCTGTAAGCCAGTGACTCATGGATGGAGTAAAAGCTCCTCATTGAGCTGCTCCATCTCCCGCTATTCAGGATCAGATAACCTTGCAAGAATCTTAATCGCAGCAATTAAGCACCCAGAAGTTGGTGGGATGTTAAACATACCTTTCTGTGCGGGCGGGGAGGTGGGCAGCATGGTGGCGAGGGGTCCTCTCTGTCTTCATCCCTCTTCCTGGCTGGGCTGTCTTTCTTTAGTGTTCGAACATAAGAGATTCTCCTTTTAACGCTTCTGTCCTGCTCCTTTGCTTCTGCTGAGACATGTTTGGTTCTGCTTCGTTGGCCCCAGTTCTGATTAGACTGGGTGGGACGTCCCAGTGCCTGGGCTGCAGGTGCTCCCTGCCATTCTGTCTCCAGGTAAACATGAACGCACACACACACAGCAGTGAGCAGAATACCCAAACGCAGCAGCAATCCCCTGGTGAGTCGCTCTCTGCCCATGTCCATCCACTGTTTTGTCCTCTCTGTCTCTCCGGCTCTCTTCAGTCCATCTCCTCAACTTCTGGGTGTTAAGTAGTCCATTGCTTATTTTATCCCATTCTTCCTCTGCTTCTTGTCAAAAAGTTTTCCTTCTCTTTCCTTCCCTTCTCTTCTGTTTTTTTCTCTTTTTCTCTTCAGGTCCAACGTCCACCATCAGACCAAGAGCCGTAAGTTAATGAACCACGGACATGTCAAGAACACCTCTGCTGATAAACCGACACACATGTGTGTGCCTGCATCTTAACCCGAATGGTTCTGTGCATGTTGGTGTGTGTGTGTGTCATGAGGCTCTGCAAACACTTTCTGAAGTACAATGTGTGCCGCCCTCTTTGAAAACTTTGGGAACTCCCTCCTCACACTCTCAAGTCCCCCTTTTCCCCAAACACACACGCCCCTTTAATTTGCTTTCTTTTTCTTTCTATCTGGCTCACGTCACACACATACACACTCCCCTCTGTTGCCCTCCCGCCTCCCTTGGGTTGCCTCTCCCGCCCTGCAGACTCTCGAGTTACTGTGTAACTCTAGATATGGGCAGGGTCTGCACCACGGGCCCATGCAGGTCCCTCTCAGCTCCTGCGAACCACTGAACAGGACAGCTTAGCCTGGATTTGCAGAGTGGATAATAATGATGCTCAAGTCTGATCTTTTTGTTTGTTTTTTGCTGAAAAATTTGTTAAAATTAAAAACATTTTGGACAATTTTTTTCTGACTTCCAGATTTGCATTGTTCTTCACACAGTCTAATAATTTCTATAGGCTTCCTCCAGTACTGTATGCATTCCTAAAGTTAACTAAATGTTCCTGTTACTGCCACAAATCTTGAAAGCATGAACTTGCGAGCCAGCACTCGCCTCATTGTCTTCAAGTTACTTCATTAACTTTGTCATTGATTTCCCTCCAAAGACCACTAAATCTGCCTGTTGTTTATGAACAAATTAATAATCAGAGCGCCTCCTTGCGAGCCCGTTTATTAAATATGTTATTGATATTTTAGACTGAAAGAGGACGACATCATTTATCAGGCCTGCCAAAGCAGATTATTTTTGGACGGAGAAAAGCTCACAACTGTTTCACTTGGATGGAAATTAGGATTTGCCTGGCTTCACAGAGCATCCTGACATAGCTAAATAAATGCAAGATAATGACAAGGGTGCCTTCTCTCTGCTGTCTAGAATCAATGACAAACTTTTGCGTTTGTATATCTGCTTATAAGTAGCTATCTACTGCCCCCTTTGGAGTGAAAACAGTTCTCCCCCAGCCTCTTTACTCATGAGATCATATATGTGAATTCTCTCGATTTTGATGCAAAATAGGAACTCACTTCTTTCTGATCGATTTCACAATCAATTTGGTTTCCAAGAACAATGAACTGTCATACATTTGTGAAAGGAACATATGGTTGGAGAGAGACACAGTGACAGGGTGAAATATATTGTAAAGGGGACAGCAGACTAGCATTACAATAACATATCCCATATCCACCCACCTGTTCCCACTTCTCTCATATGTTCTGCTGATGCTTGGCCTTCTAAGCCCACCTCCTCGTGCTCCCGTAAGCCTTTAGACCTTATTCTTGTAAATACATCACTGAACTGATCCTGTCTGCCTGCCCCTGTCTGCGTTTGGGTTGTATCCCTGTTGCCTGTATGCACCGGCTGTAAAATTTATACATTACCATTCACTGGTGAGTCTTATTGCCATGGGAATTATTTCTATTTGATTTATGTTTTTTTCATCCACTCATCTATTTATTTGACAGACGCCAGATTTGTGAGGTTTTCCTTACACAGTAACGCAAGCTTCAGAGGACTTAATAAATTAGCATTAATATGTAGTTTTCTGGGACTCTGATGGTGTATAAATTAAATTACCTTGTTTTTTTAACTCCTACTTTAGCAGTTCAAACTAGAATGAAAGATGCAAGAGATGACAGTCTCTACTGCCATCCAGTGGTTAGTCAAGAAAACTAATCACCTCCATATGGAACAGATTACAACAGAAAGTGAGTCTGTGATAGCCTGAAGTGATGTAGGTCAAACTGTAATTTAACTGGTAATGGTACTGGAAGCAATGAGAGAATCCAGAGAGAATGAACCCTGTAAAACTGACTTTCAGTTCATGTAGAAATTAAGCAGAGCAGTGATACATTTGAAAGCTTAGGTTCTGTGTGTTTTTACACGTATGTGCGCAATTACAGTACAGTGCGTGGCAGTGTGTACTCCAACATATCCTAAGTATTAGACACATGGTGTGTATGGCACACAGAAAGAAACTATGTTTCTGTTGTGGCTTTTTCAGACTGAACACAGGAGACTTTTCTTTTTCTTTCTGTTGACGGCATTACACATCTTGTAATGATTTGTCAGGATTTGGCCATAATCCGCTGCCACATGGAATGTATTCGTGTCTGTTTTTTTTTTTTTTCCTTTCTCCTCTGCTCTGCTCTCCTCTCCTCTCCTCCCCTCCACCACAATATGGTCCAGAGAGCTCAGGTCATGTCAACTTGATCCATTGGCCCCTCCTTATTTAGCAGTGCAAAAAAGTCAGTGCAAAGGTCAAAAGAGGTCAGGCAGGGGCCCACTGTTAACTCAACAGATACCATTAAAGGCTGTGTGCTTGTGTAAATTAGCTACTGATTTTGATGACAACAAATATTGACCATATTGGCAGAAAAATCTTTACTGTGACATGGATGGCTCAAATCATTCAGGAAAAAAAGGTATTAGAGGTTAAGGATCAAAAGTAAATTGAGCCTCCTGGGAATAAGGAGAGAAGAGTAGAGCAACAAGACAATGAACATCCGAAATTCAAGAAACGTACACCCAGCATTGGCTCAAAAAATGAGTGTGCACATGTGTGATTATAGTCTATAAAAAGATGCAAAGTGAGGTTTAAAGATTAGAAAATTCCTTGTTAGGTGTAGAAATTCAAGATAAAGAGATCTTATTTATAAAGGGATTTACTTGACACTATCTTGAAAACAAACGACAGGTCCTCTGAAATGTGCTGTGGTGTGTTTCACAACAGACCAAGTAAAACTAGATTAAACTGGACTGAAATAGATTAATCTGCTAAAATAAAGGCCATTTTTTTCTGGCTGGAGAACACACTGGGACCTGGACAACCCTTTTGAAGTATCGCTCGGTGGGAAGCAGCCAGTTGTGACAGGAGCAGGTGAAAGTGTGTGTTTGCTTTCAGCTGGGGCCCAAAATACCACACGCATGCAAGTTCACAAAGTCTGATTTTTTTTAAATGTATGCACAGGAATAATGTACATTTTGTTCACTGCCACTGTAATCTGATGACACAAGAAAAACTGAACTTTAAAAACACTAAATCACAGGCTGATTCAGTAACTCCAGACTGAATAAGAGTATGTGTGAGTCCATGAAACAAACCTGCTCAAGCTTCTCTCTTGCACACCTTCAACAAACAATAGAGCAGAACAGGAAATGTACAAGAGTAACCCTTCACCCCTCAACAAGGATAAGCCCCTTTTATCCTTGGTGACGCAAAGTTTTATCAGCTTCCTCTTACTATCACTGAAAACAAGTAAGGATGTGCACAGTAAACAAAAGCTGACAGGTCACTGGGAGGAGAGAGAGAAATACAGCTTTTCAAAAAATGGATCAAGCTCCTGTGGTCAAAAGCACACTCTGAATTTAGTTCTCCCTAACAGCTAGAATGACTGTTATAGCCTAAATCGTATAAGGAAGAGCTATAATATATGTAATATAAGTACAATTACTGAAAACAGTTTTAGTCTCACCACACCACTGCCTAGCATACATGTGGAAGATGACAGCTCCACCTGTGCTGTCTGATTTATAGCAACATATGTCTGTGCCATAAATCAATCTCCTTTTATGTTGTAAAGTAACCCAATACATTTCTTGTACCATCCAATTTAAAATAAACTGCAATGCAATCTTACCGTGTGAATGATTTTTTGATGTTTGAAAGTTATAACAACAAAAAAAGAGACCTTTTTATTAATGTCACGCTTGCACACTGTTTATAAAACTGCACGAATTACAGTATATGTCTACTGTTTGATTATTTCCCATCGGCGCAAGTGGAGCAGATGGCGCGTCTGTGTCATGGCAAAAGCAAACACTCATAGTTTGTAGTTCCTGCTGAATCCAGCCAAGGCAAGGTGCAGTAAGTCAATACAGTCACAACTAAAGCACTTATCAATTATTAATCAACTGCTCCAATAGGAACACTTGCAGAAGCAGAGGAGGAGAGGTTGACTTGGAGTTGGACATGGACATGGACTGGTGGACGCAAGAGTGAGTCATACCAAAAATGTAGTGGAGACAGTTAGCTGCATCGTTGGCTCAAAATCAAACACAAATGTGTGCACACTCGCATGGATTCAAATACACACTGACACCCACACACAGAGGTGAGGTTTGCACTGTACGTTCTGGTTAAAGTTCCCCAAAATTTCAACACAGTTTCATTGGAGAGGTTCAATTATATTATTAAACAGCAACCATGAAAAGAGTTGTGACTACACGCTGACTCAGAGTCCCTGGTTTATTTATGTACAGTTATCAAGAAGAAGTTTAATTAAATGTACAATATCCTTTATGGTTTGGACCTCTGAGTTTTAAAGGTAAAGATGTAAAAACTCCTCTTGTAGGGTATAGTATTCATGCACCCTCCTCTATAAGCAGCATGTTGTTGGTTTAGAGACTGACTATATGACCCTGGTGATTATGAACTCAGCAGCTCATTACCACTACGCTTCAGTTGTAAACACCAGACATGTTTACAGCAGCTGTTTGTTTCAGTGTTCTTTTGAAAATGTTGATCCTGACCGGAATAAAACCTTAGAAGAAATTCGGCTCCATGTTGTCAGAGGCCCAGTTTTACGCTTGTGGAGGTTATGCAAGGGCAGAGTATTTACCACAGAATAAACACTTGTGCCTCCAGACTGATACTGTCTGCATCACTGTACTTAGAGCTACATGTGAAAGTGTACTGAGCCATAACAACCTGACTGCTCCTGAAGAAACACTGTATGTGATTGCTTCATGGTAGGAGAATGTGTGATGTAATCAAGGGTCCATTAGTGTCTGCTCAGAGATGATTTAGGCCCAAACAATTAAGTCTATCTTATTCAAAGGGTTGACATTGGGTATATAAAGAAAATAATAAAATTACAGCAACAAACACAACTTCATTATGTTTACAGCGACCATTCTCTGTCACGTTCCAAAACATCTCCAGCCAAAAGCGCTCGTATGTGTGTGTGTGTGTGCGTGTGTTTGTATATGTGTGTGTGAGACTGTGCGCCCCTCCTACCCTCACTCCGCTCCGTGAAGCCACAGTTTATAATTTGGTGTGGAAGCGCTCAGGATCCGCTGCCCGCCGGGGAGAGAGACGCACCGGGAGCCTCGACGCACAAACTCACCGTCAGAAAAAATGACCGTAGAGAGAATATTCGATGAGCTCGGACATTTCAAAAGGTATCAAAAGCATGTTTTACTCTATCCAGACTTAGTAAGTTGGCATGTTTGCTTTGTTCTGTGAATGAGTTCGGGGGTATCAGCAGCCAGTTGGTGCTTTGGAATTGTAACTTCTCAACGTCTGAAGTTATTTTTATTCCATGTTGCAAATGCGTTTTTGAAAGCAAACACCAAAAAAAGACCGAAAGAGCGCATCCCATTCCATTTCATGAGTTGTGCACAATGCTTTTGGGTAAACAAAAATTTCTACCACATGTCAATGCTTACCGAGTCTCCACTCAGAGGAACTTTTGTGTCCTCTGTCTATATATTTTTGAAAAAAAACTTTTTTTTTTTGTATTTCAGTTGTTAGAAGAACTAACGCAATTATAAATCTTTCTGAAGTGCATTAATAAGTGCCAGAATGTAACTTTCAGCAAATGTTTCTGATTTCCCCCTTTAAAGTAATAACGTGCTGAATTCATTCAACTTGATTCAAAGCATAAGGTAAATGAATAGGTTCAAGAAAATGTAGGTTATATGTTGAAATGTGAGATATTTTAAATCAGTCCAGCTTACTTTAAATACTGTCAAATCTCTTGTGATGTTGACTTTTTTTTAACTAATCACTGCAACATCTGGGCAAACTTTATACAGTACAACAGGATTAGTCATCAAAGGATGATTTGTAAGATGACCCCAGCAGTTATCCATTAAATGGAAGACCTAAAGGACTGCTCCCAAACCACTCATCTTCTCTTCAGCTCTGGTGTCAGCATATTTTTAAGGCACTTTCTTTCTCTCCAGATTTCAGGCATGTCTGTACTTTGCAGCAATCTTCCAGGCTGTATCCTGCGGGATCCACTACCTGGCCTCTGTCTTCTTAGTAGAGACACCAAACTTTGTTTGCAGCGTGCCCAGCAACATCACAGATGTCCTGTACGGCAACCTGACGGTATCCAGTCTGGAAGAAATCCTGCCGGTCTTCAAGTCGGGGACTGGGCCCTTGGTGGTGAGGACGGCTGAGGGCCAACAGTGGGAGCTCAGCCGGTGCCGCAGCGCCCTGCGCATTGACCCAAAAGACTTTACATACGACTTTGATGGCAACAAAACAGTGAGAGCCTGCAGTGGGACCTTTGTTTACGACCACACTGAAGTTCATCAAAGCATTGTGACGGACTGGGACTTGGTGTGTGAGAGAGAGTGGCTGGCCAAGCTGTGCCAGCCCACCTTCATGCTGGGGGTGCTGATCGGAGCGCTGGTGTTTGGGGACATTGCTGACAGGTAAGCAGGGGCTGCAGGATGGGGGAGGATGGGGTGGGTACTGTGTACAAACATGTATTCTCTCTCTTGCTCAGTGGTTGATGTATGATACATACACTCGCGGTGGCCTCATAAGCACGGAGGTGAGGGAAAGGGATGACTAGAATGACAGTCAGGTAGGAAGAGTAAATGATCTCTCTTCATGAGGGATGGAAGAAAGGGAGGAGGAAGAGACGAGAGTGGCAGGAAAGCAATAGGTGCCTGGGCACACTTTGGACAGATCAGGTGATCTAACCGAGCCAAGACTGAAGGGGTCAGCATTTAGAAGTAGGACTTTAGTCTCATGTACTGGAGGGTACACTTGCTTTGCAACCTCATATCTTATAAATGGATCCCACTAGCAGAGTTAAAAGAGAAGGATTAAGTGCTGATGGTTAGTATGGACGAGTTAATCATCATCTATCTCACTGTATCTGCTCTTACACATTTTATACATAGTCTTATCCACCATGACTAATGGTCGAATGCTTTTATGAGCTGGACATTGTCAAAGTCTTGGTCCTCACATTGTGAGGTCAAGTTTCGCCTGTTAGTAGCCGTGAGGTACATTGAGCAGGCAAAGGGGTTGTGGAGCATCTCTTTAATGTTGAGGTCAAAGTTCACTCTCATGTTTATATACTGTGTTCTGTTTTCTTGCTCTAAACACAGAACTCGAGAATATTTGTGCAAGACATTAGCTTACCTTGACCCACAGAAAATTAGCTGTATTGCTTTACTACAAAAAGTTGCTAACATCACAGCTAACATTTTATTGCAGAACTTTAATGGCCCATACAAAGAACATACTATTCTTGTCTACAACTTGTATTCAGATACCTTATATATGCCGTGCAATGCCTACATCATAATATTGGTCTAGTGATACCCAACACAACTTTCAACACAACAATTAAATCATCTTTTATTTAATGCATTGCTTACCTGAACACCACCTTATTTCTTTTTATCTCTCTATCTGTCTTTCTCTACCTGTATGGGTGTCTCTCTCCTCCAGGGTTGGTCGTGTGAAAATTCTGATGTTCACCAGCCTCTGCCAGTTTGTGCTTGGGGTATCTGTAGCGTTTTCTGGAAACTACTATTTCTTTGTGGTGCTTCGCTTCCTCCTTGCCATGGTGAGTTCAGTGTGTGTATCTGCTGTGTGTGCTTCTGTACTGTGTGCAGTTGTGTATCCAAGTGTATTCTTGCATAGCATGGTTGCTTGAATTAGGGAAATTATTAATGTGGAATAAAATTTTAACTAGAGAGAGCATACCAAAAAAGAAAGTAGGTAGGTGTCCCTGAGACCTCTAACTTATTAAAGGTAATCCACCAGTGTGAAATTGACGACACTAACGCTAATGTGAGTCATTTTGAAAAAGGTCTCTGTTATTAACACTTGCCCAGTATAGGACAAGGGAGGTGCCTTATTTTCCATTTCGGCTTGTAAACAAGCATGCTTCTCCAGGTTGATTATGTGTCCAGTTTCTCTAGGTTTTTTCTGCAAAACAATCTCTCAGCCAATCGCTAATGTTCTCTACGAATACATCAGGAGCCACCTCCTGTTAGTCATATTGCAGCCAAGCCAACATACAAACCAACGCAAGATGTTTGCTCCAACTGTGCATAATAAGAATATAAATATAACTGTGTAACTTTAACTGTATATCTACTATATTTCTGCCCTCTTCTGCACAGGTAGTAAGTTGCTACATGTAGGTTGTTTTAGTTAGCAACCCAAATAAGGTCAAGTAGCAACTGTCTTATAATAGCGTAGAAAAAATAATTTACATTCATATAAATCAAGGGAATGCAAGAAATTAGCAGAAATTAGATCACAATTGCTCACATTTTTCATCATCAAGAAAGAAAACGTACATTTATAGAGATGTTAAGGGAAGGATCTGTTTTTTACGAGCATAGATATGTGTATATATAAATATATGAATATGATATTTACATTTATATCTGAGTTGAGTTGATGTCTTTGTAAAACCTAGAAAAACTTTATGTCTCAAAAATAAAACCAGGACCCATACGGGTTAACCTCAGTTGGTGCAACAGTCTGAAATTTCCAGACCACAATGTTAAAAGCAGGCAACGATAAGGACTGTTTGAGATAAACCGTAGTAGAGCAGGTGAAGTTATAGAGTGTCTTTAGTGGTTCTTTGTATGTTCACGTGTATGCACATTTGTCTTTCTGTGTACAGAGCACTAAATAAAATGTGCATAAAAAAACATGTTTACAAGGCAAAGGAAGGGAGTCATTATTGTTTCAAGTCCGCATGGCAGTAAAGTTGTGCTGAAAGACTCCCCTACAGTCTGTCCACTGTTTCACTGCTCTCCGTCTTCTACCATCCCCCCAGTCCTCCTCAGCTACAGCTGTTGTTTTTCACATAGAATCAGTCAGATAGGGTACGCTCATACAGCGGAGCCACACTTAACACAGTGCAGAGTCTTATAAGCAGGGACTTAAAGTGTGATTACTGCCATATGTATCACACAAAGGTCTGACAACAACATGTTTACCTGTAAGTTGCAGAAAGTAGAGAGAGTGCATTATCTCTCTATTAAGTCTTACAGTCTGACTTGGTATGATGTTAGCAAGCTTTACATAAATATACATATATAGCACCATTTAAAACCCTTAAATAAGAAGCACTTTGCATTCATGTGTATATTAAAAATATGTGTTGAAATTCTTTGTTTTATGTATTTAGCATATTCTTGTACATATTTCAATTCCTTGTATCTCATCCTTTTCCATTTTTGAATCTTCCATCTCTTGTGTTTTCCTTCCTTCCTTCCTTCCTCTCTCCATCTCTCTCTCTCAATTTTTGTCCTTACTGTGTCTTCCAATCCTGCTTCCGGTTTCATCCTTTTATCTGTGTCCCTCCTTTCCCTTTGCTTTTGGCAGGTGTCCAGTGGCTACCTCGTGGTGGTGTTTGTCTATGTCACAGAGTTCACTGGCATCAAGGTACGAACATGGACCTCTATGCACGTGCATGCAGCCTTTGCCGTCGGCATCATGGTGGTGGCTCTGACTGGTTATCTGGTGCGGGTCTGGTGGATCTACCAGATCATACTCTCCACGTGCACCTCGCCGTTCCTGTTCTTCTGCTGGAAGTTCCCCGAGACGCCCTTTTACTTGATGGCCAAGAGGCGTTACAAGGACGCTCAGACCCTGTTGGATGCAATAGCCCGCTTCAATGGTCTTGATTACAGGCTGAAGGTGGAGGAGCTCCTGGAGCCAGAGGAGAGGGAGAATGGCAGAGCTCTGCTGGGGGAGTCAGAGGAGCGGCCATTGCAGTCCGAAAAGAAGCTATCCATCCTGGACCTGTTCGGCAGCTGGAGGATGGCGGGCCGTACGTGCACAGTGTGGGCCATCTGGTTCATCGGCAGCTTGGGCTACTACGTGTTCTCTTTAGGCTCAGTCAACCTAGGAGGAAACCAGTACATTAACCTCTTCCTTGCTGGTAAGTGATTGGCTGGTGAGTGTGAATGAGCATGAAAAATATTGATATCGCAAAACTATACAATTGTAACATCTAGCTTTGTGTGTGTCTTGTTACACAACAACATCCTACTTAGGTCATAGGTATAACTGTGTGTGTAGATGGATTTGGCAACTGTTGACAACTGCTAATAACAGATTTCCATGTAAACAAATCGGCCACTCAGATAGTCTTATTTAGTTAACAGGCCTGGGCCTGTTAACTAAATTGAGCAGTATGCTATTTAAAAAAAAATAATTGTTCTGTACACTACAAAATATTATGTCTGTCTAGTGTTGTGTGTTAGTTCAGGGAACATTGTGTCACTGGCGAAGGCGGTGAGATCTTTTCTGTTCTCCAGTTTGGCTTTGTTTACTGCTCTGTTTTTGGTCACATAGCAGGTCAAATTAGCCTGTGAGCAATTAAGAAAAACTACAGCCCTCCTTCTGCGAGCTAAATAGTTTCCCTGTGGTTTTTCATCTAATAAAGGAAATAAGATTTGTACTGTAATAAACATTTTTTTGTTAAACAAATCAAGAACCGATGTACTGCTCATGTAATGCTGTTTTGAAAGCATTGGGTTTTCTATGGCACATTTCCCAGTATAAACTTTAAGACTATTATTTCTCACAAATGTACATTTTAAATGCTACGTTTGATACTAGTTATGTCTGGGAATCAGCAGATGATATGCAGTATTTACATTACATTTACTTCCTCTTTATAATTGAATGTGCTTCTCTTTATGTCCACTGGTAACATTTATAATCCCTACTTATTTCATTTGGAGACATTCAGTAGAGCACATTTGGGAGGCCAGTTATTTATGACCCCTAGATGGAATGTCTCGGTGTCAGTGTGTCAGTGCCACGATAACGTCTGACCGAGAGTGCTGTGTTTGGCTGTTTCCAGGTTTAGTGGAGCTCCCCTCCTATATGGTTGGCTGTTTTGCAATGGACCGGATTGGGCGGAAGAAGACTTGTGCCCCAGCTCTGCTCCTGGCTGGGATCGCTTGTATGCTCATCATTGTGGTACCTGCTGTACGTACTGGGAGTGTGTGCGGGAGGGAGAGTATGTGTATACATTTAGGATATTTAGGTATTCTTGAATCTTAAATATTACAAAACCACTTTTTTCACACTATTATTTCTTTGGGGTTATGTGCTGACTCAACACAATTTTTAGTGGCCCCATAACAAAATTCATCTTTTCTTCTGACAAGAATTCTATCATTTATACTTATTTGACCCCAAACTCAGAGGAATTGGCCCGATGACACAAAAATAATGATGTTCAGTCCAACAGAACGATTATCCTGCAAAGACGGCTCATTTTATTGTTCTCACAATCATCTTTAGATTTTATTACTTAAATGTTTTCAACTCAAATTTGGAGCATTACACATGTGACAGTGACGCTGCTGTCAACAAGATGTGACTGTTAGTCGCTGGGGAGTCGTGTGTCAGGGGCAAGGTAATACAGGGCTATTTTTAAAGTATTTTCTGCACTGACACAATCTGTCTGGACCGTTAGCTCTTGAGTTTACTGTCCTGATATTACCCCGGACCATTGGGCCACTGTTACTGATCCCTAATATACGGCATATGCAGTTCCTAATGCGTGTGTGTTCTGACCCAAATTAGTTTTGTTTATGGTTGGGTTGGCAAACAGCTGGTGTGTAATGTCTAAGTAAATATGACCTTTGACACTGAAAGCCACACGGTCAGCAAACGTGAGCTGAAAATGAGCAGTATGGAAACAGAGGAGATGGAGAGTCATAACTGAGTATGGAGGCATTCCCAGTGGATAGAAGTGTTCTGAATTTAATGACTAAGTAGAATACATGAACTTGTTTCTTAGTCACAGGACCTACAGACACTCACATTCTTTTGTTATCCAGTCTGCCCAGCTAGCTTGGTAATCTTTAGTATTATGAGAAGGATACCTTATCTTATCTTCCCTCTTCCTCCTTTCCTTCCCTCTTAGTTGCTTCGCTCTCCTGATAGATACATTGTAAAAGCTGTACAGTATTTTAGCAGTGTATTATGCTGTATGTGTTTTGCTACTGGGTGTCTTGTTATCTCCTCCACATACTGTATGCGTTCATATGATTTATATTTTCTGGAATTCTAAGAAATAGGCTTCTTTACTTTCCCTGCAGAGAGGTAGATAGCCAGAAGCCTGTTAGCTTTGCTTATCATGAAGACTTGAGGAAAAGGCGAGCTTGGCCCTGTGCAAAGGTAACATGGTAGAATATATCTATCAGTACCACTAAAAATGACTAAAACTAACTACTGCTACTAACTCTCCCCATATGTTGTTAACTTTTTGGACTTTATTTTATGTTTAGATAATCTAATTCATCACTGTTGAAAGTATTTACCTTTGCTTCCCATAGATTCTGTAGATCTTTCAATACATCTTTGCACAATGTGCTCTTCTGTTCTGGGCTCGACTTGCTAAGCAAGTTTCTTCATAGGTTATGGAAGATTTGTAATGCAATCCTTGCAGTCAAAACCTTGTCCTGTCTCAGAAAGCACTGCTAACAGTCTACCTTTTTATCATGGCTAATCTGAGTGCGCTTTCTTTTGAATGCTATGTTTGTCTGCATAGCTACACTGTGCTGTACTTAGTGAGGGAGTTACAGTAATATTTATACTTATTTCAGTGGTTTAACTTAGCCTTATCTGTATTTTGTTAAAATTGTTAAAATTTGGCCAATACAGATGACTCCTGCCACCACTGTCCACTTGGAACTGAAATGACCATGAATGAATTGCCAGTATTCAGGCTCAGAAAGGGCACTGACTGCTTAACAGGAATTCATTGATAGATAAAAGATTAAAATAATAAAGAACATGTTAATTCCAAACATCAGTACAAGCAAAAATACTGGGATTGTTCGACTCAGTGCAACAGCTCATTTGCGTCACAGCTCACTTTCCAAGAACATTTTCCACATGCACATGTAGTACACGATAACATTCACACACAGTGTCCAGTTGCAAGTCCCATTCATAGATGTGTATATGGTGTATAACAAGTGCTTACCATGCCACAATAACAGTAAGTATGTAAGTAAATTAACAGTAGAGTCACTGAGAGAGCAACCATTCCTTCAGTTTATCAGATTACATGGATAGAATTTAATCAAGTCAGCATGAACTTCAGTTCACACATCAATGGAGTGCTGTAAGAGAGTCTGTGCTGCTGTTTAAGACTTTTAATGCAATCAGTGGTCTGATGAAAAGGCTGAAGGTGAAAGGTCAGGTGTATATTTGTTTGATGAATTTAGTAATATAATCTACAAGTTAAAGGTTCATTTACAAACTTAACTTACTGTTTATACAATGTATATACTTATCTTCACCCCCACACCCCCACCCCTTTTCCACAGGACATTCAGGTACTGGCCATAGCTCTCAGTATGACAGGGAAGTTTGCCATCGCCATTGCCTTTGGTCTCATCTACCTGTACACCTGTGAGCTTTACCCAACCATCATCAGGTAAGAGCAAACAATCAAAACTCATACGCCCCGTACAGCTATTGTTTTATGCACAGCTACAGATCTGATACACTTTTTGATCATAAAGTAATGTTGCTTTTCAGTTTACAGTAATTTATATTTGTTCATATCTGTGGCAGTATGCCTCATGTCTGTACCCTGAAGACACTAAATCTGTCTCTTCATATGTTGCTGACCATGTGTATGATATCCCCCCAGGTCTCTGGCAGTGGGTAGTGGCAGTATGATGTGCCGTGTTGGCAGTGTGGTGGCCCCCTTCTGTGTGTACCTGGCTGAGGTCTGGGTCTACCTACCTCAGGTATACATGTTCTCTTCTGGCTGGTTCTCTCAGAACAACAGCTATTATTTAATGTTTAATTACCGGTTATTACCTGTTCCATTCTTTCACCTTTGCACCTTGTTCCTCTTTGTCAAAGTTTGTCTACTTGGGTATCCTGGCAACAAAACAAATTTTCGGTAATTAATTTTTTCCTTTGTTCATCACCACCCCTGTGTAGCTCATCGTAGGAATCCTGGCATTCATTATCGGAGTGCTGACGTTGTTGTTGCCTGAGACCCTAGGCAGACCTCTGACAACCACATTGGAAGAGGCTGAAGCTCTGGGACGAGAGCCCAGCAAGAAGAACTCAGCCCTGGGCAATAAAGATGCCGAGGACGGGTTGGAGATGAATCAACATGAAGCCAAGGCTTGAGTTATACACTGCTGGAAGAGAGAGAGAAAGATGCACAAAGAGAAGCAAATGGAAAGAAAAATGAAGGAAAAGAGAGGAGGTGATGGCTGCCAAAAACTGACATATTAGCTTCATTGATTTATTGGATTGTTGGAAGAAAATGAAAAAAAACAACAACAAGCTTTTTAAAGACCTTGTTGAAATGACGTGTTTGTTGACATTTTGTTCTGTAGAGAGACCAACAGTTCTTTTCACTCTTCTTTAAAGGTCTTCAGACATTACACAAAGCCTCATGCGTGCATACAGATCTCAGTTATGTAACAATCAGTCACAGATGTAGTGCAATCACAGTGGCCAGTTGAATTCAATGACAGAGAAAATCATATGTGGTATGTGTGTGTATATTGTGTGTGTCCAGTTGTGGGTGTCCAAGACCCAGGAAACATATAGTATAATAAAGGATCATTTCAGTTTGTGACAACTTCAGTCGTATTTTTGAAGTTTTGCCCATTATTTTTATTAGTTAACTAATAACTTTAAACTCACTACAGTAATTTCTGAGATCTGGAAGCATGGTAGCTATAACACAAGTCTGATAGGGCAAGAAACACCAGCAGTTAGGTGTTGTAAACAAGCCAACTGTTTAGCCAAATTATCAAAACAGCTTTATTTGGAACTCAAAGGAACTGTAGCACACCAGAAATGTCAGTAATAAATCACACAGGAACAGTGTGTATTATTGTGCACAGTGGGTCAAAGTTGAACCAGAAATTGTGATCTCAGATCTCAGCAATTAACTGCAAAGCCAAAACTACAAAAATAAGACCCAAATTGTAATAATCTGGAATTATCCTTTAAAAAGAGGAAGTTACCGTAAGTATAGTGACACAACAGTCAATTTCTGTACTGTGATTGAGTTACCTCTCTGAAACATCTAATCAATCAATCATAAGTGCAGATCATGGCTGTGCATATAGTATTAAGGTGTACAGATGTTATTCTAAACACGTGTAATACATATCATTTCCAGGATCTAAACAATATAATGATTTTTTCTAATATGAAGTGCCATTTTTTTATATTTTTTATAATTTTCAACTTTTTCTTTTGTCAATCTCAGGGCATCCTCTTTTGGATATCACTGTGAAATGATCCTAAACATACCGTTTACTTTTACACTCAGTTTGACAGTATCCATCTTGTTTAAGATGCCATTGCTTAGCTTTAACTTTGTATCTAATGTTTGTGTGTGTGTGTGTGCATGTGTGCATTGGTAAGTACAGTAGTTGGTGTCCCAGTTTTCTACGTGCTTATTCAGTGTATACAATCTAGATGCTGGACATACTGAAGGAAATGTATGTAGTAAGACGTGATCTCCAGATGTTTGGACCAAAGGCAGGAATGAAGCACAACAGTGTGGAGATGTATTGACCTGCTTGCAATGTTGTAGTGTACTACTAGCATGTTTTTGTTTCATATCAAACCATAGTATGGTGCTTTAATCTAAAGGAGATCAAAAAATCATGACAATCAACTGGTATCCTAACAGTGAAGACATTTAATCACCAGGTGGGGTAAAAGGACTCAGTATTTAATTCTGGACAGATTTACAATCAACAGTATGTTGTTGTTTTTTTCGTATGGATTGATTTTTTGTTAGTATTATTTTTATTTCATTGCGCAAAAATAAATAAGATGTTGAAGTTGTTGACGTCTTCATGGCTATAATACACTTTTAAATTAAGTGTTTTTATGCATCTACTATAACAACCACAGTTCTATTTCATAAATGTGCACCTTTGCAAGTTAAAAGCAATCTCCCTCTTCCTCTCTCTCTGTCTATCAAACTGGAGGGTTCAACCTGGTGCTGGGAAAGTAGGGAATCTATTTTTGTCATACGGGGAATATAGAGCAGGTCTGAGAACAGCCCACCGACACTAACAGCTTCCTATTCGCCGGTGGAGAGGAGGTCCCCACTGCCAATGCCAGCTCCTTCTGCACCACCCAGCATATAAACAAACCCTCTGTGTTCAACTTTGGAGAAGAAAACTCTGCAGATGCATGACCAGTATATATATGTGTGTGTGTGTGCATGTGTGTGTGTTTGTGTGGATGGAAAAGCTAAACGTTATGCACTTCACATAAACCTTAACAGACAGGCTGCTAATGTGAACTTCCACTTCTGTCATGATACTGATACCCTGAATACTGTGTGGTTATTATTGGACAGCATGGAGAGAAGATTTTGTCAGGAATTCCCCTTCTCTGCGTGTGTGCTCTTGCAGTTTTATCTTTGTGAGGGTCAAATGGAGCTGTAGACTTTTTTAGAAAGTCAGGATTGAGGGTAAAGGGCTAGGGGATGTTTTCAATAAGGGTCCTCATAAGTATAGAAGGTGGTGGTAAATTGTATCAGTCTTTCTACTATAATAAAGACATATGAGAAAGGTTGGAACAGGGGCTACAAACCAATGTCAGTAAATTATGGACCATTAGATGCACTATGCTATTATGTGTCCTTCTGACCTCTACTAACACACACAATGTGCGACTCCTGTTCAGATATTTTTAAGTTTCCCCCAACTTCCAATGTTATCCTATCATTAAATTATTATTATTATGGGTTTTAGGAGATTTTTTAGAAATACAAAAACACTGGGTTTCAGTATCAACAGAATATTAACACAGTGTACTGACTCCAAACTGTATTTGTTCCAGCAAAAATGGAAAGAGGACACCATTTGCTGGTCATGGCTGTGAGTTACATCAAGCTGAATATGGCTTGTCTTCAGCATTTGAACAGTAATCCAACGGTTTGTTAATTATTTTTATTTCAAATAATTGAATGTCAAACGATGTCTGTATATAGTTATATGATCATATATTAGGTTGTATTGCTTGTGTTCAAATATTTCTTTCATACAGTTGCTCTAAATCAAGGCAGACTGCTTCTTGCAGAGGTGCTTTTTTTATAACCAGTAACCAATCTTTACTTATTTTCTTCTACTTTTCTGTAATCAGACTATAGAATAATTTTATGTTGATGTATTTGACTGTACATGTCATGCATCTTGTTGCTTTTAGTCAGAGTAAGTCACAGTGGCTGGAAAAAGTTTTAGCAGCTGCAAAGTATACAAGTAATCAATAGGAAGGAACTGCAGCAATGATGCAACACTACTAAGGTAAAAGATTTAAGCAACACTCCTGTGTCAACACAGCATGTATCATCAAAACTGCATTAAGAGTCTTACAGTATGTATAAATTTTGCTACATGACCAAGGTAAAGTGCAAATAGAGAAGGAACACAGGTGTGTGAGTGGAACATGACGTGTTCCCTACTTTTTCTTAGCAGTGTTACCCTGACTGGAGCTGGGGAGGAAATTTCACAAACAGGGGAGACAGAAAGAAGATATGTCGAGGTTGAGTGGAGTGATGGACAGGCTGCTGCAGGGAAGAGAGACCTATGTGGTAAAAACAAAGGCTGATGGCGTGGACCATGATCTGGAGGCTGCTCTGTTAGTAGCTGCCTATCAATCTGAAATGTGTAGCAGCATGGGAGAATTGAGGCAGGCTGCAGCATTCCTGATGGGGTGAAAAAGCCACAACAAACTTCTTAATACACTTTTTTCACACCAAAAAAAAGAAAGTAAAGCAGAGACAATAGCTGCAATAGTTAGAGGACATTTATTTTGAAGACTGTAAAATGATGGACTGCATTAGTTGTTGTTAACCAGTTTTTAGCTGTTGATATAAACCCATTCTAGACACCCTTAATATGCCAAGAATTGTTTCATAGCCACCAGAGACCAAAGATACAAATGATTAAGTTATCAAACAGTTTTTTTCCTTCCTGAGAATCTTATCTGGAATGCAAATGAATAAAAAATAATAAATTAAAACTGGCAAAAAAGGAAACACTGAACACAAACCAGGACAATGAAAAGGTACAGACAATGGATATAAGGATGGTAGAGTGAAATGTGTAGATGACAGTTACATGTTAGCTTATGGTTACTGTTCTCTGGCTGGTTTTTACATGAGTGATGAAAAACATGCACTCTGAATAGCTGCTGGAGAATTAGAAATTAGTGTTAGCTGGCATTGGTAACACTTCACACTTACATGATAATATTTTTGAATGGGAAAACAAACCCTTAAACAGTAACGTAATCCTACGTGAAATTGAAGGCAAATCAGTATCCAGTTTTGTGACCAAATCCCTCATTTTGCTGCAGAATTTCAGGACAAGTCACCTCAGAGAAAGTGCAGTATAATACAGTTTTGTAATGCATCGCAGTAGAAACATTGGTATTTGGCAAACTCAATCTTTTCAACTTTGGATTAAACAAATGACGCTCCATGAATGCTTTTTTTAGTGTTTGACTCTAAACCCAGCCTATATTCTCAACAAATGACCTTATCCAAACAATCAATCTATGCTAAAATACACCGCTGGTTTGGTCAAACTCAATCGTTCATGCACACACAGTTGGAATTCTCTGAATTCATAATTGAGTGCTTACCGTTTAACCCTCATTTATACCTAATAATATCTTACAAATTAAACAAAATGTTATAAATCAATATTATAACAACTGACTTGACTACGTCACAACTCCACCAGCTGTGCACAGAGGTTCCTGTCAGTTAATGGAACTCTTAGTGAGGTTTGGCACTTACAACAGTCCTAAACAACTAATATACAAAAAAGGGTTTTGGTACTTTTTTTTAATTTATGGATACCATTTCCCATTCCAGCTTTTAGGACATTGACCCTTTCATAAAGTATGAACCTCTTACTTGGGCAATGTCTCTGAAATCCTCTCCTACAGTAAACACCCCAGCGACCAACATTTAGAATATTTCCAAACACATTTAGCTATCCACATCTTGTGCTAATCTCTCCTGGAGATTAAAGCAATGATGGATTTTTTTTTACAGAAACAAACCTAAAGACAAGCTCAAATTAAGCAAAACTCGAGTCACGCAAAAGTGAGCTGAAAACATGATTTCCCATTGTCTTTAGTCAATTTTTAAATAGAGCCTTTTGTCCTTCCAATAACTCAACTCCTATAGTCCTCAGTGCTGAGACTGTCATGATAGGAGTCTATTGCAGATGGAAAACAAGAGCCCGTACAAACATGAGCGTCAGGATCCGCACACCCCTGAACACACCTCACTTTGAGGAATGCTGAAAGACGGGGAACGCTCCCCTTTGCCCTCAGGCTGCCTCCAGCTATCTCCAGCCTTCTAGCCAATCAGCTTTTTTGGCTATATCCACTGTTCATCAAACAGCTTAGGAATGGACCAGCCAGCTGTTGGCATCCTCCAGGTCTGTGTCTAGCTCCTCATCTTCATCCAGGGGCTCTGGGGTCCGGAGGGCCAGCTCTCGAAGAAAAGCAGGTGAGTAGGCGGTGGGTTGGGAGACAGACTTCAGGCCAATTTTTTTCTTCATGAGGTGGAATTGGTCACGGATGAAGTTGTAGAACTCATACTCGTAGCGCATTCGGTGGTACAGCACCTGTAGGGCCTCTAGAGTGGGTGTATGTTTACGTACTGTGCCTGTCATGTTCCCCATCTTCCTATAGTCTGCAGAAAGACAAAGAGGATGTCAACTTGACAGGAATACATCAGTGAATCAGGCTACAATATACACCATTTTTTTTAAGAAATATAACAGCTATCAAATGTGATCTACTAACATGCACCTACCAGGGCTCTTGTAGATGTTGAGTACTCCAGTAAAGTAATGAGGTAAGAGCCTCTCCAACAGCAGGAGAACATCCTCCAGCTCCTCCAGGATACCAACAATAAGGTAGTTCTCCAGCACATTCTGTTTGGCCCTCTCCAGAGCCCATACTCCTGGCTCCCTGGTGAAGGGAGAAGAAGAGAGTAAGAGAAGAGTAAGAGACAGAAAAACAAAGACAGTAACAGAGCAGCCTTACATGACTAGAAACAGTGTCTAAAACCAATCAAAAATCAAAATGATTTGTCATTAAACCTGAGTGTGTTGATACCTGCACTGAGGATGCTGTCCGCAGAAGTAGGGAATGATGTAGAAAACTCTGGGGTTGGAGCACTCAGGGTAATTCTCTAGAATGCACACATTGATATCCTGAAAGCAGACAAACACACAACAATCATTTTAATTTTACAGTACCCATTCCTTAATCATTTTCATTCCACTTGCAGTCAATGAAACTCAACCAGAATTGTAATGATGTTTTTTCACCACTTGAGGGGGCCCTTCACCAGCACTGCTGTGAACTCACACTCACTGATAGTCATCATCCGAACTGAAACTGCTTTGCAAAACAACATCCTGAGCAAACAGATAAGCTCTGCCTCTTCACCTCAGCAGCTCTCAGAGGCTGAGGTGTCAAGTAATAAAACATACGTTTCCTTTTTATCTATTGAGATTCTGTGTATGGATTCATGCTCACCTGAAAAAGACTTTGATGTAATATAAAGCAGAATTACTATGATCTAACTGCATAAATCAGATAGAAACGATTGTTTGCCATTATGCAGTGATCTAGCGGGGATGAACTTAAAAAATTTCAGGTCTTCTAAGTCAGAAATAAAGTGTTTCAGTCAGAGTTGCGAACTTTAAAAGACCCCTTGTGTAAATGTGGGAGCTATTAAATAATGAAAGGAAAAATACAGAGGAAAGATTAAAAACACACATGCAGGAGTGAAGCTGGCCAGCTACTAAGTGCTGTGGAACTAGCGGTCAAATCCATGTCAGGTGACGTAAGCCTTATGGATGGCAACAAGTCCAGAGCAACAAAACACACCACGAAGCATGACCCTGTCTCTCACACACACGTGCTCAAACACGTTATACGGTAGCACCAGACCACATGCATGAGACAAAAGGTGTTGACAGGCTCGTTGTATAAAAGAGTATGGGATCTAAACATGGAGGCAGAATTGAAAGTGAAATGATTGCGTCAAGACTTGCCTTTAAGATTTATACTCTGATAAGTTGGTAATGGCTGATTTAAACAGAGCAGTTTGTCAAAGCCAACACTGAGGCCAACATGCTCCATCACAGAGATTAGGTTGGGTCAGACAGGACCAGAGGCCCAGACCTTCCCAGAGGATGCAGACTGCTATTGAGGGAGAGATGTGAGGGGGCCTGCAGGTGAACACTGGGAACCAAGTGACTGAGCTGTGAAAAACACCTAACCGACAAGGGTGTTAACATGGATGAAGGCAAAAAAAATAGTGTATGAGCAGGTATGAGTGTGACTTTCAGACAGTTACACAGGTTAAAGTTACAGTTAGCCATGTTCTGCTGTATTTTTGGCTACATGTTTACATGTAGCATAGAAAGATTTTTTTTTAGTTCACAGCAAAAAGTAAAGGACAAATTGAACTAGCACATCACAAATCTGATAACTCTACAGATTGATCTTTCTCAGATTCTAACAATGCAGCCACAACAGGAAGAGAGTGAAGGCCTGCACAGAAGTCTATAAACTGGGATGACATAAATTATGCACTTGGTCGGTTATTTCTTCCTCGTAACTGAATACTGTGGTATGATTGTGTCTCTGATTCATCAAGCGGCTGTAGGGTTTGTTTGAACTTTATGACTGAACTGCACTATGTGCTGGGAACAGGACTTATTGGTGATCAGTGAAGCAAACCACTGGAAAGCTCTTCAAAGAAACCACAACAAAACCCCAGAGGAAGAAAACAGTTCAGCACTGCACCATTGTTAGAGTACGGGTCGTGTCCGGACTTGTGATAAGTTTGCCCTGCTTTTCTTTGATTCATAATTTCTAGAATCATTTGTTGTTGTTCTTGTGTTTCAAAGAATGACAGTGTCAGTACAACCATTGTTATTAATCATGAGTACGTCCCCTTGCCCTGCAGTCTACATTTTCCTATCAGTGACAAGTGTTTTCTCAATAAGATTTTGGCAGCATATTCTTTGTGAAAAACTATAACCACAGTTACATTTCACTCACGCTTGCCATGCTGATAAAATACTGGGACTGGACTCTAGACAGGTCTTTTCTACAATTAGCCTAAATGCAGCACAGCGCAAAAGCTCCCAAGAAATTCATTATGAGCTAAATTAGAAAAAAGAAGTGAGAAAACGCAAGTAAGAGCCAGAGACAAAGAAACAGAAAAAGGGGGACAGGAAGTGAAACGTGTGACGCAATTCCACGACATACATGGCTCATTGCCAGGAAGTCCCTCCTCCGCTTTGCTCCGACACTTGATACAGGACCCTCAACATTTAGGGGACCTCTGGGAATCCAGCCACAACTCATTTATATACAACTGTGCACAATCAAATATATACACACACACATGCACTCTCTTTAGAGAACCCATTAGTATTTCGAAGAGAGCTCCTGTGCGCACACTCAGGTTCATTGTTCCTATTCTCGCTGTGGATTAGGCCAACTGAGCAGTCACAGAAACTGTAGCAAAATAGACCTTAATCTCTACAAAGGCCTCCTGTTTTACTGAATGGAATGTATGCATGAATTAAATCAGTAGTAATTGATTATGTAAACCTTTCCCATGGGACAATCTGACTCTAAATTTCCATCAGGGAGCATGGGAGTGATTCACCTGGGTCAACTCAGATTAAAACTGATTTTTTTGCCACTTGAGGGCAGCGTAAACTAACTGTTGCTGACACATTTAACAGATCAACAGATCAAGGGTGAAAATATGTTAGTGTTGTGATTACAGCTTGTTACTGACACATCCGGCACATACGGAGAAACATTTACGAAATATCTGACTGAAATCTGCTAAATACTCCACCAGCTAGTCACTGTCTCTGGTGCTGAGCAGGTAGCATACAGTTGGTTTTTGTATACAGGCAGCGTGAAAGATGCTAAAAAGCTCTGTAGAGCTGAGAAACTGTGACATCTATCACATACAATCATGGGACCATTTTTAATAAAAAATATTAATTACAGCTGATTTGAACTAATAATACTTAGCATTTGTTTTACTTTAACTTTTTAGCATGCCAGATTATGCCTGGCAATACAGAAACTGTCATGTAAATTGACAATCACAGAGATCTATACATAATGACACAAAGATACTTTTCAACATCTTAAAAAGCCACTTACATAACACCTGATAGACGTGACAAGTAAACTTCATGTCTCGGTTTCACCTTAGGCAATCAACCCTGTGACAGATACACCACCTTACAGTTTCTAGTGTCAAGGCATGCCAGGGCATGATGGATGCCAGTAAAGCCTCTTTCATTATGCCATATGCCCTTCTTTGTATTTGTGTGAAAGTGTGTACATGTCATTGTAAATGTCAGACCAACTGACAGCAGATGATCCTCACTTGCCGTGGGAAACTGTCCTGATGAGATCAGTATTGCTGATGTGGGAGAACTAGTCTTGTGCTTTTCGGGTTCAGCAGACATTTTGCATGTGTTTGCATGCATACTTACAGGTGTGTGAACACAAGCATATGTACACACTGTAGGCCTACTTTGTGGTAGGGCTGCCTGATTAATCACTCTCTATTGCTCCCATTATATTCCTCATTTTCCACAAAATCAATCTGACCTGGCTTTTTTAAAACCCACTTCATTCTAAATTTAAGATAATAATTTAACTTAAATAACAGTCCATGCATGTGCTCAATCCCATGTGTGTGTACGTTCAAGTGTCCAGTGCATGCCCTGGTATAGTGTAGTGTATGTGTGTGTAAAAAGGGGTGTGGGGACTGACGGAAAATCCAAGCCAACCACAGGAATGTCTCAGTAACACGTGCATCAGGTTCCCTCAGCCCCGGCTAGCAAACTGACAGTGTTCTTTCATTGACACCTCTCATATAGACCCAGCATAGGGCAGGCAGGGCTAATGCACACCAGGCAGGGGATATATCCAAGACTAGTCTGAACCCCGAGTGTTGACATAGCAGTGAATTCACGCTGACACACATACAGATATTTGAAAGGCTATACTTGTGAGGACATTCATCCCCTGGCCTCAAATCTGAACCTAAACTCTCTACAAAAACACACCAAAGCTTTATATTAAGCCTTATTTTGGATATCAACATTGAATCAAATTGTTATTGAGAATCAGTACTGCAGTGTCATTGTTTTTGTCAGGTGGAGCTCCATTAGTCCTCTCCAACCCCCCCCCCCCCCCACTATATAAAATTAGACAGCTGCTCCAACTAAATCAAGGAGCTGAATCTAGGCTCTGCCCATAACCAGCCACTGGCTTTAAATCTTAATCCTTGACCCTAATCTTAATCTTAGTTTTACCTAAAACATCAAATCCTTTCTTAACAAATAATATGTATAGCTATTACACATCAGCCTGTGTCTGTCTGTGACTCTGTTGATTCCTAAACTCCTACCTGGGCCTGTAATTGGATTTTCAGTGAGGTTCAGCACATTTTGTGGTGTGTATAGCTGCAGTCTTCAGCATTATACAGGTGCTAGTGTGGCATATGCTTGCAGCATATATAGATATGATTTAGCTCAAAACCTTGAGGTGTTTTTGCTGAATTGTTAAGGTAGGTTGTTGTTGCTAATGAGCGCAGTCAGTAAAAAGGACAACCAACAACAGCAATGTAAAGCAGTAAGAGAAGAAAGCAAAGCAAAGCGAAACAAGAACAGAAAATATTGCTTGCTCTATGCCAATACAGTAATATATATGCAGGGAGTATCCCTCTAAATCTCACTTCTATACATTTCCAGAGAGTGACTCAAGTTGAATACAAAGAAATGGGGAAGAGGTCAATATTAAGAATACACTTTAGTGACTCAAGGCAAAACATCACATGCTGTATTCTAATAAAGTTGCTCCAAAGAAGTGGGCACCAACAAAATGTCATCCCTTTGGAAAGTTTTAGTCAGTTTTAAACCCTGCTAACCCTGACTCTTGGTTCTCATAAGTGCAGGAGTGTAAATACACACACACAGACACACACACAGGCACACACGCACATGCACACACACAGAACCAGGTAAGCCAGTCTACAGCAACATAGCCTCCACCTCCCCTTTAACTGTAGCAAGGGGCCCCCGTGGTCTGCATACTTTAATAACTCAACTCACATGGTCCAAAACTCCAGGGAAAGCAGTGCAATACTTAATTACACCCAGTCAGATTCAAGGCAGAATGACATTCACTCCTCATGTTAGCCTTTCAGTATGGCCTTCTGAGCTCTCAGGGTCCCTGACAGTATGGAGGAATAACTAGCAGTGTACCTGTGTTTGTGCCTGGATATTGATGTGCCATAAAATCTTGAACAAGTATTGATATAATCATTGTTTCCACCTACTTTTATGGCCAAAATATGTTGTTTTTGCCGACCTACTCCCCTGATGCCAAATGTAGCTGTTTGTCTTCCTTACGGGGAGTTCCAACCTCACATCAGACCCATAACTTCACTGCTAACTATGCTGCAGTGTATGCCATTAAGTAGCTCCTCCACAGTGTAAAACTCACACAGAGATTAAAAAGTGGCAACTTGAAAATTAAAGTAAGACTCCAAATGGCATGTACTGCACTGTAAAGTATGACATGCATTGCCTTTAGTATGGTGCTACGGGGTAAACACCCCTCTAAGGCAGATGTAGGATGCAGAGTTCCTGATGTGGTTATACTAAATCAAGTCTCTAATTGGAGTCATAATCAGATTTAAATATTGGGTTAGCATCAGTCTGCAGTGGCCTTTCAATTTTCCTTCCATCCCTCCGGCACCACCACGTGTCGAACATCTTCAAAGAGAAAAGTATGTGGTTTTAATATATTTTCTATGTTGGAGAAATGCTCTGTTGCTTATGTTTTAACATTTAGGAAGTTAATGTCTCAAGATAACAACAAACAGATCTCAAACACAAGAAAACAACCATCTGGCTGACAGCTATGCTATGTAACATTAATTTAATGAAAGAAAGAATCAATCGATGCATAAATCACTAGTGATAAAAAAATGAATGTCAGTAGGATTATTTTCTTGTTACCTTATCTTTTGCAGAAGATTATCAGTGTATTATATAACATTAGTATCATTACTGTTTCTGTGTACAACACTTCTTAGCTAAAAAGCCTCTATAATTAGTATTTCAAGGTCATACCAGAATAAGAAATTAGTATATGACATTTCAGTTCATGTCTCAACTGAGCTTCAGGATATGAAACCAGCTGGCGTGGAACCAAAACAGATACAGATTTAAAGCACTGTTATTGGCAAGCCAGTGACTCATAAAATAACAGTGCAGCTCTGTCAAATACTGCAAACGCATTAGTATTTCAAACCATAAACATCCGTGGCATTGATTTAGTTAATGTCCATATGAGAGTAAATGGGCTTGTGGGCACTGGGATTGAGATGAAAGGCAGATAGAGGGGAAGACGACTAAAAGCTTCAGTATTTGTTTGACTCTTTAAATAATACAGTTATAAATTCTAAAATTAGGCATCTGGGCAGCATGGTAGCCAAATGTGGTACTCTCTCTGACGCCAGTTTAAATATAGGAGCTCTGTATTGTATTATTTGATTGTTTTATTATTATTTATTATGAAATATGAAAAACAAAATCAGATTTGATAAAAATCATGAATATAAAAATGTATGTGTATGTTGTATATGTACTATGTATACATGTACTATAATGTATTTGTCATTACTTTAAGGGACTGTTGCATAACCAAGAGCTCATTTGTGTCTTTCTCTTTACTTTCTATTACTGCTAGTATTCTCCAAGGCAGGTGCAAAGCTTTGGCCACAAAACTAAAGCTAATTAATCAACAGACCCTACAGTACGCATGACTGCACTGTGAGACTAGAGCAAAGACACAAAAGTAGTTCTCCTCAATGAAATGTGGTGCAGCTCACATTTACATCTATGTATTAAGCAATTAACAGAGGGATATCAATAGACACTTATGGCAAGTTTAAATTCCAAGACCATTAAAAATGTCAAGACACCATTAGGCTCAGTGCAAAGCTGAAAGCAACGACATCCAGACAATCTGTGTTTCAAAAATGGACATTGTATAGCAGGATTTTGAGTGAGAAATGAATCCTCAATATCAGACACACATCTATTGTCTGAAACATAAGGTCTCACCAGGTATCTCTCATCATCCTTCATCCCTGGAGTGCGGATGAGGTGGTTCTGCTCACCCCTCCAGTCACCAAAGCGACGGAAGAAGTAGTTGGAGAGGAACCGGTTGATGGGGTCCCGGATTATGTTGATATAGACAGGCTGCTCTATCCTGAACCTTACAAAGAGAAATAAAAAAGGAAGTTAAGACCTATTTTATTAGAACTGCAACTCTGGAGCAACAAACTGTTTTTATTGTATTTCCAAATGCTGTGTTTAAACATCATTGTACATTTGTGCACTACTGTACCTGGTAAAGTTGAGGAAGTGAACATGCCGTGTATAGAGGAATGGCTGAGGGATATTACTGATGTTCTTCATGAGATCCACCTGAAAAAAAACCCACACACAGTCAATTTAATGTGTCTCACATTACATTTTGAGTGTTAAACACAGTATCTTCCATAAATATGGGAAATCATCTGAGATGAGTGGAGATCTAATCCAGTGCAAGTGCATAACGTCATGGTAGAAATCAAGCAATTATTACGTTAATAGACGATAACCAAAAGCATATGCAAGCTCCTGACACTGCACAGAGACTTAAAACAGAGACCGGGTGCACCTTGCATTGCTAAAGGCTTTCTAATAAACTAAATGCAGACAAAAAAACAAACAGCATCTTCATGTACTGTTAAACAAAACCAAAAATTCCCATTCCAAATGATTTAATGTTTGAACACATAACCATTTATGAAATGCACTTTGGCTGTGTATTTATCCAACTTGATATGATTTGCAGAATCTTCCAGTACAGACTGACCTCACCACAGTTTTAACCTTCGCCTTGACTGCACAGCTTAACAAAGTAATATCATTGTTTTCTTCATCTAACAATATCCATCACCATAGATCTAGTTTCTCCTCAGTCATAAGCCAACATTTTTAAGGCAACTATTCCAAGTTTCTTATTCCTCCGCCGCTATGAAAGATTAAAAAACATCCCAAAGGCTTTCTAGGTTTCCATGAAGAGAGGCTCACAGTAGCCAAAACAAACTATCATAGTAGTGCCATATACAGTGCAGATCCCTTGCATGAGCTCTTTGACTGAAGGCCATGCAACTGAAACTTAATTCTTAGTCATTCCTTACATAAATGGCTCCATACTGGAATAATTCTGTATGTGAGATCCAGTTATCCCAGTCACGCATATAAGAAATTAGTGACTATACAAGTTATGTCTCTGCAGAACTGGAGCATATAATATGTCTAATTTCAAAATAATAAAAACACATAATAATGACCCAAAGTCATGGCTGGCTAGTCATCACCTTGGCAAGTACAGTATGGGTGGTGTTCGAGTGTAAGATTCAAGATTTATTATAATTTACTGAACATACTGTAACTTGTTTTTCCCCACTTGTTGTTGTTGAGTTACAATACATAAACCTTACAATCAAAAGTATCAACTTCCCAGCATCCTTTCGCACCATGTTGCAGGTCCCTCAACCAATGAGGAGGGGTCAGTATTGCAGAGAAAATGACTTGATCCCTCACTGGCTTCCCACCATAAACCACAAATTGTGCTAAATGAAAGACACAACCAATTCAGGGGGAACTGCTACTGTGAACTGAAACCAGATCTCCAAGGTGGTGGGTGTGTGCTTCGTCCCTGTCTGTGTGGCCATTGGTTTTAAGTGAATATGGAGATACAAAATGTAAGATTTTTGGCGAGAGGCAAGGCAGGTGATTGAAAAAGTTTAAAGGCCGAGCTATACAAGCACAAGGAAAAGTAAAAACATACTTATACTTTATTAGTTCACAAGTGGAAGTTTAAAGATGTAAGCACAAGTGAAAAATTAACAACAGCTGAACACTGCACATGGGGAATCCAATGAGTCCCTCTGCTGTCCAGACAGTAACACACAGGCCAAGGACAAAACAAAACTGGAGGTATACACGTGGACAAACAGAGGAGAAGGCTTCAACAGCAGCTGTGATTGGAAAATTACAATAGCTCTCAAATAACCCTGTCGTTCCAGAAGTTGCTGCGCTTGAAGATCCCGAATGAAAACTGTGTGTAGGATTGCCTACACAGGCACCCAGAAATGGGTTCTTCAGCCTAAAACCAGTTCAGCTTCTGCTTAGTTTCTGAAGCTGAACTGCACAGTAGCGCTTTGAGCTAAATTCTAATATCAGTATCCTAACATGCTCACAATGACAATGTTAATATGCTGATGTTTAGCAGGTATAATGTAGCAGGTACCATCTTAGTTTAACATGCTAGCATGCGAACATTTGCTTATTAGCACTGGACACAAAATCAGAAACAATGGACAAATTAGAACCAGATGATAGCACTAAATGAAAAGTCAGGGGTTCACCAAAGTTACAATTCATCTTGAGGGGTTAATATCTGTAAAAAAGAATGTATGGCAATCCATCCAATTGTAGTAAATTGAAGTATTTCAGTCAGTACCAAAGTGGTGGACTGACTAAAATTGCCATCCCTACAGTCACGCCGACAGTGATGACTAAAAAGCTCTTCCACAGTGCTGCACATCAAATGACATTCTATATATGCAGATGAATCATTGGGCCTCATGTAAGAACCTTTTCATATTCTTATCTTAAACTTCTCTTACTTTTTTTCCGCATGGTGGACTCGTACGAGTGTGCCATGTAATCTATAGATAAATGTTTAACTTCAGATTTCTGTGTAAATCACCTGCGTAAAAATGATGAATTCCACCTGTGCACAATGGAGAGTGCGTTCATGAGAATTGAAAATTTAACTAATGCCCCAATTATACCATATAAGGCTGAACGGCCTGCCCCATGTGTGAGTAAGTTCCTTTATGAAAGTGGTATAGAAGAGTAAGAAGAAGAACTTTACAAGCTTGGAGATTGAAGTCCTGCTCTCAGACATCAACAAAGGAAAGTCTATCATTTTTAACAGCGTCAGCAGTGGAAGTAAAGGACCTGCTAAAGCTAAGGAGTCAGAAAAAATAATGAGTGCTGTTAACACTGTGTCAACTTAGGGTTGTACTGTTGCTGAAATCAAGAAGTGGTTGGACATGAAAAGTGAGGCAATCAATAACAGCAATGGGAGGGGGTCAAGGGGAAGTCTCCACCATGGTGATAGACAAAAGAATACGTGCCATAATAGGTGATAGTTGCATTATCAGACATTGTAATAGAGACAGCGACCTACACCTTAATGTTAAGTAATCCCTATCAATAGCCAAATGAAGAATGATATTGTCAGGCTATATGATACATTTAGAACTATATTATATTTTAAACTGTACAGTCAAACAGGATGATGTCAATGTAAAGCCACTTAAGAACAAATATGTTTGTACCAGTGGTTCTGTAATACTTTCAGTCATCAATTAACTCCACGTTTTTGGCATTTGATGCAAGGTGGGGAATTTTTACCCCCAGATAAGACTGCCAATTAGAGAAAATCTTTCTTTTTTCTTATTTTCAGTTTGAAAGACCCTTGATGTGAGGCTCAGATGATAAAAAATAAATAAAATATGAGTGCTTCACAGGGCATCTTCAAAATACTGATGATCCATGAAAGCATTCTGTCTGAACAGACTGAATCACATTTTATATAAAAACCCCTTTCTAATAAAAAGCAACTGAGGACCTGTTCGAATGTCCTGCTCTTAACTATGTATAGGCACCTGTTACGTCATAGAAGGACTATTTGAATAGCAACGGTAATATGTATACTTGTTTATGTACACAAGGCAGTTGATCTGAGGCCCCAGTCAGATTTGGGCATCACACCCTCCCTCTCCTCTATAAACTCAGTACATTTCCACTCACTCGGCTTCCACTTTCTGTGAATCTCTCCTGCAATAAAATGTAAAATTCACGTTTAGATTTTATTAGCTCTGTAGAATTTATTTCACCACTCCGGGTTTCCTCCTGCATGCTCTGTCTCTATCATTCCTTTCAATGCTACATTTAAAAAAAAGTTTATTTTCCACAAACTGCCCCCCTTGACTCTTAGTCCAGACCAATTAGCCCAGAGCTAACCCCTGACGTCCCCTCCCCCACACTCAGGTTAATGTGCAGAGCTTGAACACATTTGGCACATTTGGTGAGTTTATGTGTGTGTGTGTTTTCTGACCCACCCCTCTGGTCTGTCTGGCCAGACCCCCTCTCATTTACCAGAGAGAGCTGCAGGGAGACAGAGGGAAAGTGGAGGACAGTTTGAGATTCCAGGCATACCTGCAACCCCACGACCCCCGCCCCCCTCCTTCCTGAGCCCCCATGGCGTCCACACAGGGCTCATCAGGGGAAACGGAGAAGAGCCAAAAACCACAGAGAGCTAGGACGGCTGCCCTGCATTCAACTAAATCCAAGTTGTTTCTATGTATCTACATTCAAAAATTAAAGAAGCCTAAATAATCAACACCTGTGGTGGAGACGAATATGGAGGTCAGACATCATAGAAAAGTACTCCAAGAACATCAGTCCAGACATAATAGCAATTATCGATACATAGTGTGTGTATTTGCTTAAAGAGTCATTATACGGTACACAGGAAGAACTTTACTTCAAAATAAATATCCTTGATTTAAAAAAAAGGCACATTTACTAAAAAAGACTGATGGCTTAAAAAAAATTTTTAGCAGCCACAAATTTATTTTTCTAGCAACCAATCCAATTCTCTGTAAGTGAGCAATGGCAAACGTAGCTATTGAGATGATACTAGGGGAATAACTATTTACAATCTGTGTTTGTACTGGGGCCAGACACTTTTTAGTGTTTGCGTATCTGTGGCTATGTGATGCAGATACATAAGGTTTGTGGCTGTAGCGCATCTGTCTGCTGGTTAATGTTTTTGGTAAGAGGAAGGAAACAGGATCCCACATGAATGCAGGCAGGCTCACAATAAAGATGCTGTCTTTCTTTTTCTGGAGGTTTTTAAGGAAGACATTTTTCTCCTGTTTGTTTCCAGGAAATGTCTTAAACCTCTCTCTCCCACTGAGCCTGTTCCCCCTATGCTGAAGGGGACAGATGGGTCACTATACGCCTCAAGTCTGCAGAAGCTCTGCAAAGTTCCAGACGAATAAGGCACCTTCACTTTTTGGCAACCCACGCATGAGGCATCAACCCTGGGCAAAATCCATTAGCAGACTACTGGGGGAGCCAGCTGGAAAATGGTCCAAAAGCAGCAGTCTCAAGCCAGAACCACAACTGATGAGACCAGCATCTCTAAACTTAGGCGACGCGCGTCTGGATCTGCATAAGTCAACACACGCAAAAGTACACATGCAAATAAAACACACAAAGATGGAGACACACTATTCAGAATCACACACAAACACAAGCACAGACACACACTCTTAAACAGACCCCCCTTGCACAGACACTGGAATGCACACACTCTTTCTGAAGAGCATTGCTTGGTTGCATTCACAGAGATGTTTTATGTCCAGAGAATTAATGAGTCTAATGGTGTTCTGCCACTTTGTGTGCAGCCAGTTTCAGGGTTTGATAAATGGATAAACAAGTAGCTGTTTCAATATTGGCTTAACATTTACATCAAATCGGTCAGTAATGGTTACATATATTTAACATCTGCTGACCATTCAACAGTGGTCAGCAGTAGCTTATTCCTAAAGGATGCTGTCAATAACGTCATGAAGGGATGTGAGTCATCACTGCAATACTCCCACACTAACACACAGTTAAGTCACCCTCTCATTCAGATGACTAAAGGAGTCATTGCACTAGTGGGAAATGTCACTACCTGTCACTGAGTATGAGGAATCTTGATTCCTCATTCTCAGGAACCAAAATATTTCTGTACTTACTGAAAATGATTTATTTTAGTCTGCAAATGTTCTTGCCCCCTTCAGGGAAAGCTAAAAGTAAGGGTCAGTTACAGCTTCACTGAAGCTTGGTGGTCATTTCAGTAGTGTAAAGTAACTCAGTACATTTACCCATGTATTTAAGTACAGGTACACATATTATACTTAAGCACTGGATTGATGGTAATTCTTCAGTACAGTTGTTAGCTGCACTCACAGGAGCCTGAACTCAAATCATCTGGTCATGGCCAGGTAAGCTATCCTGCCAAAACCTGGGGCTTGTTTTGGAACTAAAGTTTGGAGTCATGTTCGCATCAAAACACACAGTGCCCAGTAAATCCAATCCTAATGTAGTTGGAAAATCTTTTATTTACAATATTTATTTGTTTAGTTTATAAAAATAAAACATTTCAGGGGTTAGTGGAAAAAGTCATAGGAGAAAAATTATTTGTGTTTAATCACAAACAAATATGTGCCATTTAGATATGCTTTATGCACATTAGTAGTTTGCATTGGCATTCCCACTGGCACCGGCCAGCACTTCTTAGTGTCTCAGAGAGCTGTGGTTTATTAAACGAAAGCAGTTTTTTCTCTGTAAAGTCAACACTCATGTCCTCGAGATATTTCAGGAAATAATAAAAGGAGATTCCCCATTCTTCAGCGTTGTTCTTCAACTGAATAAAAGACAAACAGTGAATGAGCTCCTGCTGCTGTTATGTTCACTGTGACCACACAGATAAATACAAAATACAAATCCAGTTTTTAATCCCAAACACAGTAAGTGATACCTAATGTTTTCTGGAGGTGCTGTCCATGATCTCATGAAGATCCTGTGATATGATCGAGAGCTCCTGATACTAAACAGCTAATAAATGGACCATGTGGTGAGATTGTTAAGTCAACTATAAGAATTATACCTAATTTTAAGTTTTCCTGTGTCTGCTGTCACTTCCACAGATAGATATTTCTGCTTTTGATCAGATTAAATAACCTATGGAAATGTGAAAGAGGCTGACTGTACTGGTTTTAATCCTGAAACTGAATGTGAAACTATTTGCAATAAAAAGTGTAAAATAATCCATTTGCCTTTTACATTAACTAACCTTTACTATAAATTTGTCAATGAGCAATTAAGGTGAATCTCCTATCCAGCTCCCATCTTCTTGTACTGACTTAGGACGCTCACCCTTCACCTCCATTGAATCTTTAAATCCATCCCTTACTGCATCATCACCGGGTTTCTCTTACCTGTTCATGTTTTGTGAGGCGTGTTTTATTGTGAATGTCTGAGGAGACCAGGTTGAACTGGTGTTTCTCAGCCAGTAACCTGAGTAAGATGACCACCGTCCGACTGCCGCACTTCCCCACCCGGTTATAAACCACCTGGCTGGGGAACGGGAGCACCTGCGAACACACACACACACACAGAATTACATTGATATATAGACTACAGTGATAAATAGATTAAATTAACAGTTTTTTCGTTGTTACACTCAATTTTTTTTCACATGTATGTTAAGATGTCACTACTGTTTATGAATGTGTGTGTTGTATTTATAGCACGTATAAGAGCACCAGTGTGTAGAATAATAAATGCAAATAAACAAACCTTAAAAGGCAGTAAAGAAAAGGACACAAAGTGTGAAAAGCGATATAAAGAGGAGAAAACAAGGACAAAACAAAGGATATAAAACTCTAGCTGGATTCTCTTGATTCTTTTTTTTCGACCTTTGAACTCTGTTTCTCACATCAACTCTCCCTGGGGCTGGACTCAATTGACCCTGCAACATATTCCCTTTCAGCTACAACACACACACACACAAAGATTGTGCAGTGCAGGCATGCATGCTTTTGTTTTCTCTCCTCATATGCTTATTCCTCCACTGAACTCAATGAGTCAGAGAGAGATTCTGCTGACTTCTCTGCAAAGAGATACTGTCGCTACTTTTTGTTGTGTTTTATCACAAACACACACACCCCACACACACAAACCGTAGCATGTGCACATACACACCTCATGACTCACCAAGTAGTTCAGAACATGATTCAGAGGCCCAAATGAAGTGCATGTGAGTGTGAGTTTGAAAAACAGGCTTTTTACAGTAAATCTTTGCTTGTGTGAAGGAGGAAGTTGAGGTCATGTGTATTGAACATGAGCCTCATTTTAGCACAAGGGCAGCAAGAATGCACTAATTTGGCAATTATCGCTAAGGGCCTACATGGTTTACACAAGTGGCCCCTTAAGTATGAAGGCTATCCAAGCAAATTTACCAGTGAGAATGAGAGTGACAGAAAATGGGGGCCAGTTAAAGGAATAAAAGGAAGAATGGGAAGAGAGGAAGACAGGTCACTTAAAAGACATCTGGAAGATTTCTTTTAAAAGTGATAGAAATCTACCACAAAAAACAAAGAAGGATCAGTTCTGTGTTGCCTCGAAAACCCTCTCCCTCATCACTTCAAATAAAGCCTTCCTGTAAATCAGATGGGGGGGAAATGCGGTAGTGATAAATTCTTGTCGGCATTCCCAGTCTGGAATGATGATTGTGCTTTTCCCAGAGGGAGAGATATCTGGATATCAGACAAACTGTGTGTTTGGAAGCAAGTCAGATTGACTGAAGTAACTAGTTCATGGGATGGTTACTTATAAACAAATTGGCTAGTTTTATAGCCGGCTGAATGACTGACTGATGGACTGTTACCAGATAAATATGAGCCCTCGCCAGCTGGTTTCTCTCTCCACTGTGACACAAAATTATTATTCATCTTTAGTTAATCTCTCTGCTTTTTAGCTCTGGTGCGGCAGACGGTAGTTTCCACACCACAGAGCACAGCGTGGCCACACACACACTTGCGGATTTTGTCTTGTCTCCTCCAAAAGCAGCAGTCCCACCCAAGCACAGGCTCAGTAAAAACAGTAAGAGCCTCTCTAAGTGCCAGATCCAAGTAACAACAGGACGGAGCAGTAAAGAGTCAAGGAGAGAGAAAGAAAGAGATGAGAGAAAACTGTCTGATGACACATCACTGTATCGATCCCACTTACTGTTTGTTTTTCCCAGAATCAGAGCATTTTACCAGACACCATTAGAGATTGACCTGGTTTGACACAATATAGAATAAAGATGTGTGGGTACATTGGCCCCGGGATGAAGGAGGGTGTACTGGAAAAACCATTCTCAGGTGAAATCTGTGCTTATACAAGCTTATGCAAGTTTGTTGACAGACATGCTTCAGCTTGTGTCACTTGCTCGAACGCTGTCATCACTTACAGTAAAGCAATCCTACACGTCAGATATTGTTTTTTTTAAAAGGTTTCATGTTAACTTTTATAGATCAGAGGTTGCTAGTGTCAGAAAATAAACAGAATAATGAAGGTCAACGGCAGAAATTTCACTGGGAAAATGATTTTGAGCAAACAGGAGATGGTTCTCTTGGACAGCAGTCCAACATTCCTCAGTGTTTGCCAAGTAACTACAGACTTCTCGGCTTATCACAATAATGAGGCGGATGAAATACATGCAGTGTTTTGCAGGACACCGTTCCCTGCTGATATGATGACAAATGACTGTGTCAGACCCTGAACAGCCTGGTGTTTTTTAACACAAGAATAACATCAGAGATGCCATCAAAAGTCAAAATCTCCCGTCGGCTCTGAAAGCACTGAAAGGGCAACCTTTCAGTTTGTGCTATTGTTGTTCCCGCTCCGTAGAGCTTAGGCTTCTGATGCACGCTGTGAGAAATGTTCGCAGTGTCTGCCAGTAAGGGATTCTGTCAATAGTCGATCCACAGTGTAAAAAAAACATTACGTAACAGGGCTGTTTTCTACCATGTTTGATCTGACCGATACTACTCCCTGAGTGTCAGACTGTTGTTGTGGTATTTACAGCTGTGATGCTGGCGAGCCAATATCAAGAAGACTTTGAGGAGATGAGTAGTCCTCCACCTTTCCTCTCTCTCACGCTCTGTCTTCCACTTTCTCTACTCTTACATTCTGAGTGTCCTTTTCTTTTCTTGCACCCTGCCCACACACACCAAAACCTCCAAACACTTCATGCTGTTTTGAGACATCGGTTCAAAAAAACATACATAAATTACTGTCTCTGTCTCATGGCCTGACCACCCAATTCTACAGAGAATGAACATAATTCTGCTGGCTTCCACCTTCAATCATATAACAGCAAGTTGGAAAACATGTCCTGGTTTGCCACATATCAGGACCACTGCGCACACACTCATCCATCTTCCTGCTGCAATTCCTGGAAACCCACACCAGTACGCCACCGCTAACCTGCACTTCACTGGTTTCAGCAAGCCCTGCTCTGGGTTCATTGCTTTCTACAGTCAACTGCTTATCTCATGCTGAGTGGAGAACAGCATGTTAGAGTTTCAGTCAGGGCACTGTAGAGATCTACTTCCTGTTATTAATGATCTATCCATTCATCTCCACTCCCACCCGCAGAAGGAGGGAATGAAGGAGTCTTACTGCTTTAAGGAGCTGTGGCAGCGGAGCTTCCATCCAAGTATGTTTATGTGAATTAAGATTAATTTATTTTAAATGGCTAAGAGGAAATGGGAAACTCTGCATTTCCTCAGCACTACCACTAATGTTTTACACTTGAATGCAAGAACTTAATGTGTGTGACAAAGGAAGATTGAATTGCATTTGTTGTCTAACCAATAACCTTTCACTCCTGCACAGACATTTATTTGTGCATTAGAATATTTTTAGTCTTCCAGTTTCATTGAATATGGAAAATATTAGCCCACAACATCAACTAAAAATTGTAATGGATGGACAAGAGTATATAGAATGACACTATGATGTATCATTTAGTGCAATTAGGAAAAAAAAAAGTATATTTAGAAACACATTTTACACGTTTTACATGTGTAAAAATGTAGAGGGGACATTCTTGTCATGATTCTATACACATAAAGACTCATAACTCTATTCTAAGAGCTGTGTGGTTTTTCCATACGCTCTCATTTACGTCAAGCTTTCAACTCGATTTTTAATCTCTCCCTACATTTACCAGAACCCTCAGCCTTCTGCGTGCACATGCCGTAATGCGTTCGACCTCTGCCGAAGATAGAAGATCAATCTCAGCTACAGCAGAACGTCGACAAAGAGATAATGAGAGATGTGGTTGATGTAGTGCTTTCCACTGACATGACATTAGCATCGTCTGTCTGGGAGATGAGATGACGACAGATATGGAATCAATCAAAGTTAGCAGCTAGTGTATAATCATAGTCAGCCCCTGTCTGTGTCTACAGAGGCTGCAAAGCTACTATCAAGTTATAGAGCCAGAGTGAAAGGAGGGAGAGAAACGATATTTTATCGATTTCAAACTTTGGGAACTTGGAGGGGCTTCAGAAAAAAGAATTAGGTTTATTTCAGTTTTATCTTAGTGCAAAATGGTTATTGATTAACAAGGGAGTAGGCTTGGTTTCAGAATGAAACTGGGGGTCTTCAACAACAAAAAAAAGACCAACAAAAATTGTGACTATGTGAAGGCATTTTTTTTAATTATATTTATATAAATCACGAAAATAATACATGATGATTAAATTGGTTATCGTGTTTCCACAATAATAGCAGCCCATTTTAAAATGAAGATTGTACGTAAATTGCTGTATTAGTTATTCATTATCCCAACTTCAGATCACATTTAGTTTCATTGATAATCTCGCATTTCTATTAAATAATTTTTATCTGTAATTAATAATCAATTCTAGGGTCTTTTTTAATTAAAAATAAAGATTCAGTTATATAGGAGAAGGCAGTTGCTCTTTCAGCCATAAATAGTTCCTGCAGCTCTTCCTGTTTGGCGGTCTAGAGCCCTAACAAGCTCCACCATTGTCAGGATAGGGCAGCCAGTACTGTATGTAGCCTGAGAGGCAAGACCAGACAAAAAAGACAACAAGGTCCATAGTTGCGACCAGTCGATGGTCGTAACATGAGTGTAACTAAAGATGAGCATCATCGACCATCAATATTTTTATCAACTCAGAGTGCAATTCTTTGTTAATGTCTGGTTTTGACATATAGTGTCATGCTTTAATCACTTAACAACAATTAAAAATTAACATTTTATTCAAAGGCTAAGAAAAACCTGGAAGTAAATTCATCTTCATCAGTCCCCTCTGCTTCTTGGAGCCTTTCCCTTCCACACTCTTCTGTGTCAAATGATTTCCAGAGCTTCTGTGTTTGTATAATAATGTAAATATTCAGAATCCTTCAGTCAAGCTGTTAAACTCCCAGCTCTATCCCCAGTGGGAAATGATGGAAACCGTTGGATTTATTGGACTTAATTCCATAAAATGTTTGCAAGCTACAGTATGTATAAAGTAAACTGGAATGTTAAGCCTAATGTAAGTGAGATTTCAGATAATGATTTTCCCTGAAAAACAAAACTGGTATCAAGCAAATTCCAACAACTTCGCCACAGTGTTCCAGTCAACCACAGTTTGTTTCACATAAATAACACATCACTGTTATCTGTATGAAACACTGTGGTTGCCTGGTTTGGCTGAGTGGCCCGAAACGGCTTTTCAAAGTAAACACATAACTCACAAACAAAGCCCAGATGTGATCCAACTCAACAGCTGCTCACATCAGCCACAGACAAACCTGTAACCAAACTTGATGAAGTCTTGGCTTAGATACTTCTTAAATACTATGCCAACACTTACCAGAAAAAGACAAACACAAAAAGAGGTCAAAAATGTTAAAGAAGGGGATTAAATAGGCAGGGAATGAGGTGAAAATGAGGTGGTGATTTATTAAAGAAGGAGATAATGAACAAGGGGCAGACTGGGGGAAGAAAGAAGTTGGCAGGGAGAGAAGGAGGGAGCACAGAGGAGAGATAGTCATGCAGACATGCAGCTGGATGAATACAAGGCCCCTGTGTCAACGCTGTATGTGTGTGTGAGAGAGTGTGTTCAGAGCATTTACTGTAGCACTGAAACCAGGTCTAGTTGGTATTTATCGTGAGTTTGCACGCAGCTCCTTCACACAGACCTAACCCTTATCCTGACTGGACTGAACTGGCATGGAGACGCAAGGGCAGTACATCAGAGACACATCAGAGACAGAGAGGTCAAAAAGGGGGAAAGTGGGATAAAAGAGAAGGAGTGAAATGACATAGCGAGATGGAGAGAAAGACTTACTCTTGGAGCAGGGGGTCCGTGGTCATCCAGATATGTGGATTCCCCTGCAAAGACAAGAAAGCACACGTGTTAGGATAACAGGAATAAAATAAATGAATGGGCATAAAAAACAACTACTTTACAAAGAAGCGGGTATTTTAACGGTGTATTGCCAGTTTGAGAACCCCAAAGAGAGGATTATGTAACACCGTGCCCTGCTTCAAAAAGCCAGAAATGTAAAAGCAATTCCTCAAAATTGTACCCACTCCAAAGAACATCATGTATTTCCAAACTTGGACATTCAGATAAACTGAAGGATGATGTGCCTATTTATAGGTTGAGAAAAGTCTACTTCTTAAGACACATAAACCATTAAAAAAAACAGTGTACATATGTATTGTCACAAAGCTAAATAAGGGCTGTTTTTCTTGGCTCATGAAAAGAAGTTGATGTCTTCAATATTAAAAAACAGGAAACTGGAGTCTCATAAACTTTCCCACATTCCCCTTTTTATCATTTAACAATACTGGGAAACTTAAAGGCAGCTTTGCTGTTTTTGCTTATTAATAACGGAAGTTTCTGGCAAAACAAAGACCCATGGTTTTCCCATTCACAGTGAACCTGTGAGCAAGATGCTGTGTCATTTTTTTGGCTTTGACTGATATGTTTACTTTATGAGTTTCACTTGTTCTTCTCCTCCTTGTCAATAATCTATCATCTTGTATGTTACATGTGGTTTTGAGTAGATATTTCTAACCTGACTCTTGATAGGCTTCTGTTGGTAATAAGGCATCATTGTTTTTAAAAGTTTTTTATTGTTTCCACATTGATCCGATTCATTTAATGTCACTTCCATTCCATATTTTTTCCCTCTGCCATACCCTATATACAGTTTCAAAAACAACACTTGGTATTTCCCTTCAAAACGTTCACCCTAATACAACAAAATCTCGCTCACTCTCTGCGACACCCAGAGAAAACAGTGTAGCTCTTCTGCATTAATTCTGAGGATGTCATGAAGAGTTACAACCTCTTTATACAGTATATCAAACACTGTGAAACTGTTTTATGAGAGAACAATGGAGCTCATTCAAGGCTACCCCACACTGATGGTCTGTGCCATGCGTTTCAGCCTACTCGCCAAATCCAGGCCCTGGCTTCAGACAGCGGCCTTTTCTTTGGCTGTTTCCTCGTCCAGACACACAGAGACGCATCACTTCTCCTCACATTTACAACATTCAGGTGGTTCGCCCATGCAAGAGAAAGGGAGGAAGACAAACTGGAGTGTGTGGGGGGAATTAGGCTATAAAGACAGGAAATATTACACAAGAGAACAATATCTCCTTGTGTCTCAGAAATGTGATCCAACACACAGATGAAAATAGCAAGAAATGATGCATGAGCACACACACTGTTTTACAACCAGCCAAAGTTTCCCACTTGGCACACACTTAGAGATGTTATTACTGTATATGCTTGTGCTGGAAGTGTATTGTATGACTTTGTAAGTACTGTTTATACTTATAAGATAGTGGTGTGTAAGCTTTGAGTAATTAGTCTTCCACTGAGATCCAATCTGCCTCGGCTTGGCTCTGTTGCAATATCACACACACACACACACACACACACACACATACACACACAAACACAAACAGAGACACACCAAAGTTACTGTATAGAACCTGCTGTGTGTGTCTTGTGGCTCATTAATTCATCAGGAGCTGGATGTATAAATACTGACACACCTGCACTACTCTCCCCCTCAGGTGTTTTTAGACTTGCTGTATCTGTCTATTGTCTCTCTTTCATGACTTCACACAGTTTTCCTGAGGAATGCTGAGGGTGGCGCGTGTTTTCAGCTCTTTTCCAAGGCATTTGAGGTCATGGTAGGGCGAGGATGCAGAGAAGCCAACATCTCTGTTCCTTTCTCTGTCATCCATCATGGACAACCAACCCCTGCGACCTCCAACCCCTCCCCACCAACCGTGTGTGCTTCTCATTAGTGTTTTTTTGGAAAGGGGATTGGAACTAATTTTTTCCAGGGCATGAGGTTCGTAAAAGCTGACAGCTGCCCTCCGCCCCCACCACCCACTGAGAGGAATATGAACTTAAAAAGCCACTGTACGGTGCACTGTACTCATCGACCCCATTGTACTCCGATGCACTGTTAGAGGTCAGCAAGGATGTTACTCTTTAGCTTGATTAAGAAATGTTTTAATTACAAAACAAGCAACAGCCCACAACAATTCATACCAAAAATTGTGGCTGCATTTATGTTTTTCTCATTGTTTACTTGATTTATTACTAATCTATGACTTCACTTTGCACCCTACCCATATGCTGTGGTCCAGTCAACAGATATCAACCCAGTTGAACACATATGCATGGGTAGATAAACTGGTCCAGACAAGAAACAGTGCGGTACATAACCCCCTGTAAAATGGTGATTTGTCGTTTTTACACTTATGTTCAGTTTTATACAGATTTATTAGTTTATGTAAAAAAAAAACCCTAATGATTAAATAGACAACATGAGAAATATCATGTCAACTAGAGCACTCTAGAGGTGCTCCAAGGCAGATGTTGTTACCTTTAGACAGAGCCAGACTAGCTGTTTTCTGCTGGGGGTGTTTTTTGTGCTAAGCAAAATTAGCCAGCTGCTTGCAGTAGCTTCATATTTAGCGTACCGTCATGACAGTGATATCAATCTTCTCATGTAATTCTTGGCAAAAGTGAAAGTGAATTTGTGTTTTATTTTCCAAAATGCCAACCTTTTTTTAAAACATGTTTGAAAGCAGAACAACTGATGGAGAGGTGTGTCATTGTGGATCTGGAAAAAGGATTAAGGCCGCTTCTATTCATCTCCAGCATGAACAAAATGGTTTCAACCAACAAAAGAACCTTACTTAAGATTAATCTGTGAGCAATGCAGATGCACCTATGCGAGAATTATGATCAACATGTCGGATAGGACGTCTCTTCACCTTCATCCAACAACAAAAGGAGGGAATACTTTTGGAAGACTGTGTTCAGTCTCTCTAAGAAAGTTCAAAAGACTTGTAAACAAAGATAACTGAAGCTATTCTGGCTGCTTGTGGTGGCCCAACACCTTAATAAAACACTTTCTCCTTTCATTTGTCACCTATGTATGTAGGTACTCATAATACATGGGTCATGAATGGTCAAGGGGAGAAATGGTTAGGTAGGAGACGGCGTGTGTGTGCGTGTCAGTGATTGAAGGAGAAACTAATTGGAGTGTGGGTATGCATAGGCATGTAGCTAAATGGTTAATTGGATTACTGTGTCACAAGATCCATGGACTCACCTTTGGCTAAGAGCAGCTGCACAACCATTCCTAAGTACAATTATCTAATCGATACTGAAAGATGGACAAACACAAATCAGGAATGCTTTTAAGTTTTTATCAGTGAATAGAAAACGTGTCTATAATCTATAAGTCTATAATTTATCCAGAGAAGTCTAAAAAACAAAAGAAAATGAATGAAAAAAACATCCAGAATTGTTAAAGCATATGTGAAGCAGACTGTGGTATTGCCATATACAATCTGTTCCATTTAGAAATGACAACATTTTATATGTGGACGTTAATTCCATTCCCACAATAGATTTTCAAAGGATTTGTCTTCACTAAATTAAGGCAAACTGTGCAGCAGTTAAAAGCTTATGATCTGCGAAACAAGACGTCTCCACAAATCAACACGTTTTATGATTATCTGAACAACATATGCAAGAAATAAAAGTTAAAAGCTAATACTGTACATTTTCAAGCTGAAATGTGATTGATATGGCAGAACAAAATGTGGAGCTCTGTGAAGCTGATAATTGCCATGGATGTTATTTTCTGCATGAATCAAAAATCAACAGGATCTAATTATTGGGAATCTGGTTATTGTGAAATCTGACAAATTTCCCACAAGCTAAGACTCTACTCACACCACAGCACTATCAAACATCTGTATTCTTAATATGTGCACACTAACTATGTATTTACATAAGTGGAAGCATCCAATTAAACTTAAGAAAGAAAACAAAACCAAGGCTTCCCGCTGCCCCCATCTAGGAACTTGTTAAAGCAAATTACCACTTACATCAATTAGTCACCTCATTAGCTGAGTTGATTGTTTTCTCCAGTGAACATTTTTGATTTTTTTTGTTATTAATTCAGAAAGTAGACTTACAACAACCTGTACAGTTGCATCTGACTCATACATCCTTGTCGCTGCTTTTTGGAGAATTTTTCTGTCACCATATTCTGTCTCTGGCACAGGAAGATGACAGTACCATTGTTAATCCTGCCTACAACCTTCCAACCGGAGGTAACAAGCATCACTGAGCACAACAACAGAAATATTTGAATTACTGAAAAAAATCAGAGATGTGGAAAGCGATTCAGAAGTCTGGAACCAGGCAGAGAAAATGAGATGCAAAAAGAAATCTAACAAGGGACATGGAGAAAACATAGCACTGGTCTAGGAACTTCATTTTAGCAATACTGAAAAAAGGTCAGTTATATTTCCTGAAAAAGTTTATTTCACCAAAGAAAACTGTAATGTAGAGATATCGAAATTTGTGCAGGAAATAACTCAAGCTTTGACCAAATCATCCCAGAACAAGTCCTTCAGGCTCTGGAATTTTCCCTTTGGTGTTGGCCCGCTTCAGGAATGCTACAGTAAGTTTCGGAATTTCATAAACATGTATTTAGAGCATAGACCATTTCATTTCCTTTGTGAAATTGGCGACCTAGCTAAGTAGAGCTTAGAAAAGAACACATCCCAGAATAGGCCGAGGTGGGAGCAGGGAACCACACAGGAATGGCTGCTGAGAATACAGCCAAGAGGATATAGGCACAGTGTTGAAGTTAAGGGGCCTTCGCTTTGCGGTGGGACACAACTCAGAGCAAAGATGGCAGGTTACAGAGCAGTTGCTCAGGAATGTTCTACGAGTATGTGAAACCAGATTACAGGTTATACAGACTGGGAAGACAAAACTTTCTCATCCTTAACCACATCCTGCTGTATTTTCTGTATCTACCACAGACGATAAT